ACAAAGCGAAGGAGGTTCTCGTAAAGGGCGAAGAGACGTAGCAACCGTTCAGGAACCTTCGAAGACTGTTGGGTCTCAGTGGAGAGGGTAGATTTGTACGCGGCCATATTCTTGTTGTTCAAATGCTGGATCTCGAACACATAGACAGGGATACCGCGACGGTCACGACGGCCGGTCCATTGGGGATACTGTAGTGAGCAGACCACTGTCAGCTACCATATTCACCTTCAACACGCTTTCAACCATTGGAGAGATAACGAACCATCCGCCGAGCAGCTTCATATGAATCCACCTCGATGTTCTCATACAACGACTCAATGGCGTTCTCGCGGCGCCAATCCTCGGTATCCTTGAACTGTCCCCAAGCACCATCGATGTCGAACTTGCGTGCGCGAAGGAAGCGCCTATAAACCGAGGTCCCGATGTCAGTGTCTTTCTTGTCTGCCGTTGTGGCAAAGGGTGCGTATAAGGGGGGAGAGGGTAGAAGACGAATACATACAGCATCGTCGCATCGGCGTGAGTAGCCTTCTCGCCATCCCGCTCCGGCCTATAGTATCCATTTTGCTCGCACAGCTTCTTGAACTCTTCCAGCTTCTGCTCCTGGTCTTCCGTCAGGTGGTGGAGATGGCCCGCGAGCCAGGCCGTGCCCGCCGCCTGCGATGCCGCAGCGACCGGGTCGTTCTTAGGATCGGTTGCGTCATTCGAGCTGGCGTCGCTCTCCGCCTTAGTCGGCGTCGATTTGCTTCCCCAGAAAGGCATTTTGGAATGTAAGTATTGGTTTCGTCAGGGGTGGATAGTTGGTAAGATAGAGAAAGAATGTTGAAATAATGAAACAAGGCTATAGGATCTAGAGTGGGTCGTCTTTACGAGAGCTGCGCTCGGGGATCGATCGGATCTTCGCGGGTTTGCCTTAAACCCGGCGCGTAGAGAAATGATTGCGATACCAAGAGCAATTGAACACGCCTGCGAGAATTATAGCCCAACACACAAAACAAAGTCGCCGACGAAGGAGCGAATTGGAGTAACCAGACCAGCGGGTTGGGCTGAACAACAGATTTGTCTTGCTGTGCAGTGGACTCTCTCCATCACCGCAAAACAAAGTTTCGGATGCCCGGAAGACTCACAATTGCCGGGTTATGTCATCTATGCACCCAGGGTCCAACTTATGCAGACTGCAGAGAATATAGTTATCGCCCGTGAAACAAACAAGAACGTCATCAGTTTTGATTTCTCCTTTTTGGTATCCTTCAACCAGAGATAAAAAAGTGAGGGAGTATGCTAGACTAGCCTAGTAGGTCACATCAAAATAAATTTTGGGCGAATTAGACAGCCCGATCAGGACCTTACAGTTCGTCGCCCGTGGGAATCAAACGTAAAAAAAGCACCAGCTGCGCAATATTTGTACAGTCAATCCAAATAAAGAAAAGTCCCGCGAGCTTAGTCCTCAGTCAGGTCACCGTACTCCCACATACCGCGTCGCTCCTGCTTGGCTTCATCCTCCATCACACGAAGGTGAGCCAAGGTATCAGCAGCAGCGCGCTCCCAAGCCTTCAACTTCCGCGGGACCATCGCCAGACCCTCCCGAACAATGTCCGCGTTGATGCTGTGGTCCAGATTCTTCGACTCGGTGGGGTCCAGAAGGGTCACATGCAAGGTGCCTTCGGGAGAGACGTAGTCCACGTTGGCCACAAGCTCACGGTTATAAACTTGCTCCTCGATGAAGCTCACAGTATCTTGCAGGTAGTCCTCGGAGCCGGGGAGCTGAACCAGAGAGAGGACCGCATCAGCAGCCTGAGGGCGAAGTTTCTGAACAGAGAACTGAGGCTGGCTCAGGGGTCGCAGACGAGACCAGGGAAGAACCTCGGAGTTACCGAAGTCGATATATAAGACCTCCGCCTGCTGCTTCTCACGGTCGTTGCGACGAACCTTAGCACGGTACCATTCCCCATCTTCGCTGAACTTGGCCGCCACGAAGTCGCCGGCCTTGGGAGGTCCAGGCAGGGGAGTATCGTTGGCCTTATTAATGTGGAAAGAGCGGAAGGCACTCATCAACTCGGTGAGGGCCGAGGTACCGGTGCCAATCTGCTGAATCTTGAGGCGACCGTTGGTCGGGTCGACATAAGTGACCATCACATCGCGGTAATCCTTGCGGCGCTGAACATCCTCAACTTCAGCACCGTTGCTGCTGTTGACCGCCTCTTCCTCCTCTTCGACATCCTTGCTAGGATCCCAGTCGTGCCAGAGTCCCTTGCGAGCTTCCTTAGCCCTCTGCTCCGCAGCGAAATATTCGGTGGCGTGACCGGACTGCTCAGCGGAGTAAGCGTGAACAGTAGCGAAACCCTCCTCGAGCAGAATCTTGGTGAAGTTCTCCTTGTTCACGTACAGGGTACCAATGAATCCACCGACCTTGTCGATGGTCTCGACGTCAATCTCAACGTCACGCTGCAAGCAGCGTCTGTTGGCCAGGTCATGTGCCTCCTGACCGAAGGGCTCACCGGCTTCGTTGGGGTTACGAGCAGAGCGCGGAGCACGGATACCGGACAGAACGAGGGTGAGCTTGGCGTTCTCGCGAGGCACAAGCACAGTGAAGCGCGAGCCGGACTTGACGAAGTCGACAATGGCCGGCACCCGCTTCTGCCTTTGAAGGATCGAGACTTCCATCTTGGCCTTCTGGAGGCTCTCGGAGTAATCTTGATACTGCTTGGCCTTGGGTGGCTTGGGCGACCACATGCCCTTGCCCTCGGACTGAGCCTCAGCCTCAGCGAGCATCAGGCTGTCGTACTCCGGCGAACGGTCGTCATCGTCCTGGCGGTGACGGATCACGGAAGCGTAACCCGCCTCGACCAGCGCAAGAGCAATATTGGTGTTTCCTTGCACAACGGTGGCGACGTCTCGCTCCTCGTAACCCTCTGTGGCAGGCTTCTTGCCGTTGACAGTAACCTTAACGTGCTTGCCAATGAGCCTCTTGCGAACGAACTCCTTAGCATCGGCAGCGAAGGGCGCCTGCTTGGGATCGGAAGGCTTTGGCTGTCTGACACTGCTCAAGCTGATCTTCTTCTCCTGACCAGCCTTGTTCCTGATGAACAGAGTGTCGGCATTCAACACACGGCTGACGGTGTAGTCCTCAGCGGCCCCGCCTGCAGGACCCTTGGACGCGACGAGACCGGTAAACAAGCCGACTCTGGCATCCTTGGCAGCTTTCTCGGCGCGGCGGAAAGCAGCCATCTCAGTACCCAGGAGGGCTGAGTGGTGATCATGGCAGCGGGCCAAACCAGCCTCGAGCAAGAACTTGGCAACATTTCCGTTGGGGTGGAGGACACTGGCGATCAGTTGACCCTGGGGGGTGACACCAAGCAGAGACACCTGAACCTTGCGCTGCAGAATACGGGATTCCACAAACTGGAACGCCTCGTCTCCGTACGGCTCGGCTGCCTGCTCCTTGCCGTCAGCAGTCACCCGCTTGGCCGCAGGCGCCCGGACACCAGCCATGGCAGCGACGACCTGCAGATGTTCCTCTGGCGAAAGCAGCAAGCGAAGGACCAAGCGATCACCGTTCAGAACTCTCTCGACAATACCCTCGAGATGCTTGTCCTTCCATTCGTCAACCAAGGACTTGGCGTCTGACAGCTCATAGCTGGTTTCAGTGTGACCCTTGTCGGAGCCAGCCCAGGTTCCCTTGCCTTCCGACCTGGCGTGGTCTTCCAAAGCACGCAGCCGCTCGAGGTAGGCGAGGGTTTCCTCGGACTCATCGCTGCGCTTACCAGCCTCTTCACGAACACGAGTCCATCCTTCTTGCACGCTGATATCCGGCACAGAGACCTCGAAGGTGGGGAGTTTGATTGTGCCGTAGTCACGCTTGGCGCCGGTGGGGATGGTGTACAGGATTTGGAATTGCACTACTTTGCCGACGAGGAGTTCACGGAGGAATTCGCGGGACTGGAAAGCGTATGGCTGCAGGAATTCATCAATTCAGATTAGCAAATGATGCTGTATCTTATTTTGAAGTGAATTTTGACATCACAACGTATGGCAATGGGGTACGAATAGAAGTTCAAATGAGACCGAGTTCACTGCCTCAATGCAAAGGACACATATGCGGGCAACCAGCGGAAGAGGAAAGGTGATCCGACCGACGATCGAGCACCGTATTCTGAGACAATTCGACTTACCTCATCGCCTTCTCTGCGCAGCCTGGGCGCTGAGACATATGCCAGACTGAGGACGCGTTCCTGGCCGGGATTGGTGATATGCGACAGCACCACCGTGTCGCCGGATAGGACAGATTTCACACGAGCCTCCAGAGGCATTCTGGCGAGAGCTGGCGTAACGGGGGAAGAGGAGAAGAAATTAAGGTAGAAGGACTTCACCCAGTCAGATTGACAGGACCTAGGGTAAAGCAATCAAACAAGAGAAAAGAAAAAGGGTAGGATTCTGGGGAAAAGGAAAGATCAGGAGAGGCGGAGGGAAAGAGGAGAGTGAACGGGAAGACCAAAGAGCATCGACGGCGGATGCTGCTGATCTGGCCAGGTACAGCACCGGCGGGAGAGCGAGACCAATCGCGTCAAGGCGGAACACCTGACTTTGTGGGGGAGTTTCCGCCTACTGCATTCTAGCCACTCAACAATGCACTGCACTGTGTGTGCATCGATTAAAAAGATGATTAAAAGTATGGATTATACCTTTACAGTGATTAAGTTATTGAACAACTCCTTGAACTGCACAGTGCTGGCAATTGGCACTGTCAAAACAACTCTATACACCACATCGCCATGGCGAATTTCGTCTCTCAGAGACCATGTCCGATTGACAGATGCCTCTTGAACAAAGGCACAGGAATCAGCTTCATTGTATGCTCCAGGCTATTTCTAGTTCGGATACAGCTTAACGTGCTCATCCTAGCACTGCAACATGAGGCACTGGCATCGAGACAGCGCTGGAGTTATGACTCTGGATACCATCTCCTAACACTACGACACATTGCAAAAAAAGTACTACATGGTCGCCAAACACAGGGAATCGTCTGGATTACTCGCATCAAGTCATTCATGCATTCCAATCTGGTTCATGACATCAATCGGACAGTAGCAGACTATTTCCATTCTGGTTAAGCCTTTCAGGCCTAAATTGACAACATAACACAATTATGAATGCACTTAAGCGGCGATACCAATGACACCTATCAAAAAGAAGCAGAGACATGAGTAAACGTCCATAACAAACCATTAGAGAGACGACTTACCGCAGGCAGGGCGGGGACCAGCGTTACCGGTCTTCTTGGACTCCTCGTTACCACCCTTGCCGAGGTCATCAGTGCCGGCGTGGACGACCAGGGTCCGCTGCATTGCGAATGTCAGTCTGATGCTATCAATAGGTGAGTGCGGGTTTGAGAAAACGTACGCCCAGGACGCTCTCGGCACCGATGAGCTTCACAAGCTTGTCCTGCTTGGAGCCGACGGCGTTACCCTCAGCATCGGTCTTGAAGTTGCCCAGGTCACCGACGTGACGCTCAGAGTCCTCGGGGGCACCGTGGGTCTTGCCGAAGGGGTTGAAGTGAGGGCCAGCGGAGGTGCAGCCGTTGGTGTTATCACCGAACTGGTGAACGTGGAAGCCACGCTCAGCGTTGGCGTCGTGGCCAGTGATGTTCCAGGAGATGGTGGTGGGGGTGTTCTCGTCGGCCTGCTCGAACGTGACAGTGCCGGAGATCTTAGAGTCTCCACGGAGAACAGCGACTGGTGAGAGGAGGGGGAAGTTTGAGTTAGCCCATGATCTCATCAACTAGAAGGCTTCCAGAAACAGGATCACCCGATCCGAGCTGAGCCAGGACCAGCCGGCTAGCAGGGTTCAATGGGAACAAGGCGGTGGTTGTTTTGTCAAGCCAACAGGGGAAGACGAATCAAAGACCCCAGGGACTCGAGTTGGCAGCGCTTCTTCAGAGCTTGTCTGTCCATCGAGCAGGGTCCTCAATCGATGATAGGTCGGGTGACGCAGGAGGAGAGATCGCAAGGTGCTCAAATCTGCTCACTCAAGGTCCCCTTCCCCCGGGCCGTTGGCCGATCGTGGATCCCATGGAAAGGCGAAAGACCAATAATACGAGGACTAGATGAAAAGATTGTATGCAGACTTACCAGCCTTGACCATTTTGACGGTTTGTGAAGGAATTTGATATCTGGGGATTCAGAAACTGGTGAGGAAAGCAAGAGATGGGACGGGAGAGAGGACAGGAGAAAGAGCAAGAGGGAGAGAGAGAGAAAGGGACTGGACTGAGGGAAGAAGTGGAGGAAAGCGAACGAGGGGTAAGCTAAAATGAGCAAAGCACCGAGGAGGAGCACCAACTGCACCAGCAACCAAGCAGTAGCAACGGAGCAGCAGCGGCAGTGGGTTCGGTTTCGACGAGCTTCCAATCTGAGTCGGTTTTACCCCACCTGGCGGGGTTCTCGGGAATGACGTTTTGTTTGTGTCTTCCATCCTCACCTCCGATTCATAAGCAGGTCGGGTCCAGATGCACATCACATACGGTCGGTGCATTGAGCACGAGTGTTTCTGTAGACAATGGCTTGCTTGGCCGTCTATATTGACAAGCCATATCAGCAATTCAAAAGAAGAATTATATCTGCTGATTTCCCGCTTTCCAAGCTGCACTGCTATTCTCTCCAACCCGTCGCCAACTCCACCACCGAAGCAATGCGATAAACCCCCAAGAAACACTCCAGCCGGGTACAAGACAAAGTAGATGGCGACTTGAATCTCTCGCCGAACTTAGAACTGTTTCTTTTGCATGTGAGCTGCTGCCCGATTGCGCACGACGCTGCTTTTGTATGTAGTGTACTAGATTGCAGTTCCGGGACACTCACTCATTACTATTGAGCACGCACCTGCTCTACAAGTCCTGCGATTATCTTGCCTGCTCGCTGGGCGACAGACTTAAAGCAGTCTCTTCCTATCCTGGTCCTCGGAACATACCGTAATGATTCCATATTCCCACTCCCATCAACAAGGTGCCGTTAGCGAAGATGTGCTTGCGCCCCGGGGGGTCAGGGGGGGGGCCGTCGATGCCGGGATGCCGCCTCTGCTCAATCCGTCCCAGAGTGGCCGATCGAGCCGTATTGCGGCGATTCCAAGGTGATCAATGTCCATCAATTACTAGGTAGTCAAGAAAGGAACCCGAGAAAACCATCGGAGGTCTGTAGTTGACAGATGCAGGGTACCGTGTTCAAGTCCGCCACATTGTACTGTATATCTGCATGGTCAAGCAAAGAAACAGGGACCGTGTAACTTAGCACACACAGGACATAACTAAGTCAAGGTCGTTGCTATGCAAGGGAGGAGTCTCGGCTTACCTAAGTAAATAGACACCAAGCCCATGATCTATATAGATAGCCTTCAGAACTCGCCCTTCTTGCCAATCGATATCTCTGGGACAATATTCCATCATAGTAAAGTAAACCCCGAAATCATCCCGCCGGGAAATACACGCACCCAACCTTAAGCCCACCGCCACGCTCCGCGCAGACCAGCAAAAGCGGCAGCACAGCAGCACCTAGAAGGGAAAGACGTGGCTACATCCATCCATGACCCCAGACAGAGTCGAAGTGCATGCCAGTGACCGGCGATCTCGGAGGTCTTCCTGCCCCCGACAAACCTCCATGAACTCAATTCCTGCAACACATAGGACGATCATGCTAGACTTCCTCTACTACGTTCACGGGACCTCGGATGCTATATATACGGTGCATACATCATATCTTCAATGTTGCATCCAAGCGCCCTCTCGTATTATTGATACTCTGCGCAGTTTAGTTTTGTTTTGAAGCGGCCACGTCACCATCCACCGTCAGCATGCTGCATGCAAGTCGTGCCCTTGCTGCAGCTGTCATATTGGAGTTCGGACTGACTCGTACCAGGACATTGACCCCCACCAGCGGAACCCTTCTTGTACACTATACTCGCTATCAGAACGCTAGTAATTCTAGAGGAACGTATTACTGAGTAAGAAGAGCAATGCAGTCAATTTACCAAAGCGCTCACTCTAATTGACAATTATCATTTTTGTATCTGGCCAGCCCAAATCCAGCTGAACTGCTTCGAAACTCATCAAATTATCATGATCATCAAATTTTTCTTTACAAAAGTGGGAATAATATATGGGTCATCACAATGAAAAGTTTTGAGAATGCGCGCGCATGCATACTCACACACACAATTTAGATCAGCAAAACGGGACGCAGGGGGAAAACAGAATTATTCCATTTATGCCTGGATCTTGGACTTGAGGATGTCCTTGAGGGTGACGGCGTCGGCGGCGAACTTGGAAATACCCTCACGGAGCTTCTCGACGGCCATGGCCTCCTCGTTGAAGTCGAAGCGGAAGAGAGCCTCGTCCTTGATGTAAGAGCGCTGGGGGATGTCGAGCTTGCTGGCGTCGGCAGCATCGAGCTTCTTGGGGACGGCCTCGGTGGAGTTGTAGAGGTCCTCAAGGAGGTTGGGCTGTAATCCATGTGATTAGTGTCTGTGGCGGACCATGAAAATGCAGCGCGTGGCGAATGATGGGAACTTACGGAGATGGTCAGGTAGTCGCAGCCAGCCAGCTCGGTGATCTCACCGGTGTTACGGAAAGAGGCACCCATGACGATGGTCTTGTAGCCGTACTTCTTGTAGTAGTTGAAGATCTTCTGGACGGACTTGACACCGGGGTCCTCCTGGGCGGTGTAGTCGCGCTTGTGGGCGGCCTTGTACCAGTCGAGGATACGGCCAACGAAGGGAGAGATGAGGTAGGCACCGGCCTCGGCGGCGGCGATGGCCTGGACCTCGGAGAACATGAGGGTAAGGTTGCAGTTGATGCCGTGCTTGGACTGGAGCTCCTCAGCGGCCTTGATACCCTCCCAGGTGGAGGCGATCTTGATCAGGATACGGTCCTTGGAGATACCCTGCTTCTCGTAGAGCTATACAAGATGTCAGTCTCACATTCCCTCGTCCCTCTCACGGCATGGAAGAGAATCATACCTTGATGAGGTGCAGAGCCTTGTCAATGGAGGCCTGCTTGTCGAAGGAGAAACGGGCATCGACCTCAGTGGAGACCTTGCCGGGGATGATCTTGAGGATCTCCTTGCCGAACTCGACGAGGAGGTTGTCGAGGGTGGCGTCGACCTGCTCGTCGACGGTCTTACCCTCCTTCTTACCCTGCTCGACGGCCTTGTCGATCAGGGAGGCGTACTCGGGCTTCTTGGAGGCAGCCAGGATGAGGGAGGGGTTGGTGGTGGCATCCTGGGGCTTGTACTTGCCAATGGTGGCGAAGTCACCGGAGTCGCAAACGACAACCTTTTCAATGAACGAAGATGGTTAGTTGGCAGAATCGCGGGAGTTTGGGGCGGGAAGGAATCACATACGGTGCCGGTGGCCTTGAGCTGTTCGAGAGCAGAAGACATTGTGATAGATGAGTATGAAAAGGTGGGGAGTTGGAAGATTAGAAGTGAATAAGAAGAACTTTTGGAGAGATTGAAGAAATTGAAGGAAGAAGAAAAGGATCAGAGGCGGAATAGGATAAGAATAAGTAGGGGGGAGGGAAGTCAGCGGAGAGGGAAGTGGGAGGGGGAGGGGATTGGGAAGGGAAACTGGATGAGCGAATGGTGGGGCAAACAGCTTCCCTCCCCGATGACGCTATGCCTTTCTGCTCGTTTCTGTTGTTGTTAATATTTCCTTCCACTTAACTATCTTCCTTCTCCATCCACAATGCATACTCCGTACATACCACCTACGGATTACTACCACTATCCATGATCGTTATAGCTCTTACTTAACACGAGGCGCACTAGTCCTACTCAGTGCCTGTATCACCTCTCATTCTCACATCCTACTCCCCCTCCCCATATATACACATCAATTCATGCATTGTTGGTTGGTACAGACCGGAGCACACTGGGCCGGCAAGACAGCGCCGGGCGGTCCACTCACGCCCGGCTAATCACGACCCCATCCAGGCCCTTTTTGCTTCACCGGAGGTTTCTTCCCCAGCGTGTTGGAGCTGCCGCTGCAGCAGCTGTGGGCTTACTGCATGGTCATAGGTACAACAGCATACGGAGTATTCAGTACGGAGCAGTATTCCCCTACCGTTCCCGTTTACCCCTCGGTTGCCCCTCTTCGGCTTGTTCTGCGGTCTTTGTCTTCGCTCCCGTGGCCTTTGCCCGCTACGTTCCAGCTCACTACGGAGCACTCGGAATAGCGAGGCAAGATGGTTCTCCGGTTCCAGGATCCCCCTGATCCGCCATTAAAACCGAATTTAACCGTTCTCGAATGATTCTTTGGAGGTGATGCTTCCCATTTAGGACAATATACCCGCCCTTCCGCGACTCCTGGGCCCTCTGTCTAGTCTTGATGTAGTACAACTGCCCCCCACATCCTGGCTACCGCAACTTGTTTCTCCGCGTGCCCCCCCCCCCCCCCCACGGGATCATTTTGGCTATATACAGTGGGGTCTCCAATTTTTGGCATACCCAGAGGGAAGGAATTGGGCTGGAGACGAAAGTGCGCAATTGAAGATTGCATGCCGAAATACTGCCTGGGTGGATCGCAGAAGCTAGGCTGATCGTAAAGAAACTCAGCCACTTGAAACTGACCAGCATTGGGATCCTTATCACCCAGGTCCAAAGCACGTCTAGAAATTTCCTTGAAGTCTTCTAGCAACGACCAAATGCGTATCGAGTTTCTTTCACAACCTCATCATCGGCGTTGAACACAGCTCCATTCATACTAATCATAAATCAGCATACGATCGACCTTCGCATCACATCCGTGTGTACTCACCACTCTACCAACCTCATCACCGGTATAGACAACATGCGGTAAAGCAAGGATGCTGGTGATACCTGCCGAGATGTTGGCGCCGTTGTCACGGAGGTTGTCCACATGATGTAGCTGTCTAATGAGCTCCAACTCAAACCGTCCATGATGGACGATTTTGCTCCAGATCTAAATGGCATCAGTGACTGTAGCGTTCGGTCGGCACTTGAAGTGAATCACTCACATTGACAACACCCCGTTTATGCCCCGTGAACAGCAGCTCCCGCTCTTGCCACATATTGTTGACTCCCTCGTAGAAGACGCAAGTCATGACTTGGTCGTCAGCAGAGTCGCCTACCACCTGCTCAAGTAACAAGGCTCCATTGAGACTGTACAGACTGAGACGATCGCCCCGGCATATCATGATCTCGCCGGTAACGTCGTTGATTTTAGCACACTACTCAAATGTTAGCCATCAGCAAATTGATAACGTATCCCGGGACAGCTTACATCAACAGGTCCGTTTGCCGGCAGCTCTCGAACAAAACACTGCCGGTTGAGATCCCATAGCATGATCTGCCCATCAGTCGAGGCTGACAGAAGCGCACTGAATGACCAGGACACCGCAAGTACGGTGACCGGAGAACGATGCCCGAACAATGACCCGGATGGCTGTAGGTCTACACTTTTGGCCGACGAGGTGAAAGTCCAGATCGAGACGGTGCAGTCTGTTCCTGCCGTCACCAACGTCCTAGAGTCGGCGAACAATGCGCACGACAGCTGGCCCGCATGGATGTGCTCGAAATGGCCAAGAAGCTGCAATCGCGTTAGAGGCTACATCCCTCACAGAAACATATGAAATCATTATCATACCTTGCGGTGATCGGCAGAGTAGAACCTGACGCTGCCATCAAAGAAGCCCCATTCCATGTATTTGTCGTAGCTGGGAGGGATATTCAACCGTAGAGCAGCCGCGCATAGTAGTCGGTCTTGCCTCATCGATAATGAAGAGACCTGCTCGCCGATATCTGCCACTGCTATTAGTACATAGTTTCATACCCACCAAACTTCTCCAGAAAGGACCCACCAAGAAGAGCAAGAGGGAGCTGAGTCAGCGACTCGGCCAATCGGTCCAACCGTGACGTCTTCTGGCCTGGATCTTCTCTCTGTGGATGTGGTCGGCTGAAGATCTGATGAGGTGTTTGGCCAAAGTTATGAATGATCCCGATGGTAGCGAGTCGTTCGACAGGGTCTTCAATGGCATCGATGTCTTTGGCGCCTTGATAGGAGAGGTGGTGAAAGACATTCACTGCCTCGACTGCAGCCTCGCCCTTCTGCTTGCAGCCAAACACCAGGTCGATCCAATGGTGTAGGTTCTGCGTGACGTAGGGGCTTTCGAGAGCTTCTCGATGCTTTGCAATGAAGATCTTAGGGTCACCCTTCGCCCACGGGGGCAATTCCACCGAGTCAATGGCAGTTGTCATATTCTGAAGAAATCCGAAATCAAACTTGTTTGAGTTGGTGAGGAACTCCGGAAGGTAGAAGAACTCTGGAATGAGCTCTCGCACATCGGACATGTTACCGCGTGAAGCAGACTCCCAAGCTTTTCCTATTGAATAGAATAAGCGGTCAGCATGATCAAATGTACCCCCTTGGAGCAGCAGATACGACTTGACGAATGGCTGCAGTCGGATGAGGTAGGAGCTGACGATCATGGCGGAAGAGTAATGAGTGCCGTAGTGGAACGGCGGCGAATTCTCGTCTGCCATCTCAGCAAAGGCCTTGTACCGCTCCCTGAAGTCCGCTTCGCGTTCTGATGTCTGACACCCCATGGGTTTGGAAAGGTCGCGGAACGTTAGGGGATTGGTTAAGTCCAGTTCCTCACTGGTGTAATCCGCGAGCACCCAAGGGAACACTGGGTATTGCGTGAGATCGTTGAACGTTCTCCCGGCTAGTGTGTTTATTAGCATCAGGTAATGGAAGTTGGAAATCTCCCCCTTCGCCCACTTGCGCGTTGCTGGATAAACCGGGGAATGTCCGAAGACACTAGCGAACTTCGAACCGAGTGTTTGTGGTGCATCCTCTTGACTTCTGAGGGTTTCGAATCTCCAAGCATCCTCAGGGCGTGCGTGACCGACACTACCGGTAACCTGAGGAGCTTTGGCGGCGAGTTGACTAAAGAGACTGTCCCGAGCTCGCGACGAGATGAGTGTCAAAAGGTAGCTGGTGCCATCTGAGAAGAAAATCTCCAAGGCGACATCACGGAACAGGAATCTCCTCTTGGAAACGCTGATTAAATCAGACCATTTCCAGCTTCGCGTTTCGTGATCTTGCGCTTTGCGTTCCATTGATTCTCGGCCGGCGATCATGCGGACGTAAGGGTCGCGCTCATCCGTTGGCGCTTGCCAGACGTTCACAATCTCACCGTCGGACCTCTGGAAGAAGTTGTCTAAAATGTAGATATGATCTTTACCTTGGATCAAAAGGCCCTCAAATGCCTCCAGACCGATGATCCGGGACATGTTGCACACGCCTTCCACTTGATCTCCGCGATGTAAACTCCGCATGACCTTGCGGTTCTTATCCTCGTAGTCTTCCAAATCGGCTTTGGGGTCGTCGATCATCTCAAAGCTTTCTTCCAGCATGTTTCTACCATCTGGACCAATGCTTTGAACGTTGCCATCCGCAGCCTCATTGTTCGCAGCCATGGGAGTGAGGTCGAGTGCCTCGGCGCCAGGAGACGGCTGAACCTGTGTGTCTAATCTGATAGCTGGCGGCTCCGATGCTTTCCGCTTGGGCTGATAATCCTGTCTCTCACTCGAGTCATCTGGAATCAGGCGAAGTCGCATGCGACTACGTCCTTCCGTCTGGTCGAGACGCCATCTCTTCTCCCGGTCCTCGCTTAAAAGGCCGCCATACCGCCGTAGATCCATAGTTAGCTTGGAGAAGGCTGACCACATGAATGCACTATCGTCTTGCTGATCTTGAAGTGCTCGTTGAGACTTCAGAAATTCGGACGCTGAGATGTTCGAAGCCCAATGAGGAAAAGTTGCCTCATGTTTGCGTGTAACATCATCGCCGAGAACTTCCGCTTGTTTCCACTGCTTCAACCGGTCTTGACGTCTGGCTACCCGCGTCCGCCAAGTACTGTCAATGTTTGTGTTTTCTTCTTGAGCGAATTCTTCCCATTGCTTTGAAATGACACCGAAGAAAACCGACTGAAGATCCTCCTTCTGGTCATCGAACCACTGCAGAAGTTCGGAATCGTCCATCCCCACCACGGTCTCAAAGCCTGCAGCAAGCCGCTTCTGCAAATTGGTCGAAGCGTGACTTAGAATTGTAGCCATATCAGTGGGCTTTTGGACAAGCAAGATCCTGAAGAGCCCAGCCACAGCTTGGCGTACTCTTTCGTCTCGATCGTCTAACTTGGTGTAAAGCAGATAGCATAGCAATTGCAAATAGTCTGAGCGAGCGTCGCCAGACAAGAGCACGACTTGCCAGTAAGACAGGTGGTTCAAAAAGATCAGTGCATCTGGACCTTCGGCTTCGGATAGCCCAAGAATGACTAGGCGAAAAACAATCGTTCGGATCGTCGTAACCGCCTGGCTACATAGCCTGATGGTCTTCATGCGAGAGACATCGGGCCTTTGGAGGTACTCTAAGATCGTCCCTGCGAACTCAAGAGTCGTGATTATTCCATCGATAAACCAACCTTCGAAGACTGCTTCTCCGAGATGTGTCACGAACCGGGCGATGTTTGTTAGAACGCGCGGCTCGGCCAAATCTTCGGGCCTCGTAACAAAATGTTTCTTGAGAGTAGAAAGAAGATGTGCCATCACCCAAGAATTGAAGTGTGCTCGATGCTCGGTGGACCCAGGAGGGGACTTCGAGTATATACCAAGACCAGAGAAGTCTTTCTTCTCCATGATCTGCGCAAAGAAAACCGGAATGATCAAATCGAGCACACCGATGACCGAGGAATGCTCCATGACGCCTTTAAGTTCAATTTCCTTCGGGCTGCACGCGTGGGCTATACGTGCAGAAGACGGCATGTGTTTGCCCTTGTCGGATGAAACAAGAATGAAGGACGATGTTCGGCCGAGTGACCTACCAAGACCATCGCGGCTCCCTGGTTGCTCCACCGTTGTTGTCCGTAGCTCGCTGACACCTCTAGAGCGTGGACGCATGACTAGATTATGGTCGCCGAAGCCAAGGCTATTTGCACGAGGATGTATTTCAACATCTGCGCTTTCCGGGGCTGAACCAGTCACCACTGGAAACAGCGCCAATAGTAGACATCGAGCATATTCCGGTTGTGTTGTGAAATCACGAAAGTTCTGTGATTTCTCTTGAAGATTCGAAAGAAAATCAATAACGGCTTTCAGAAGCAGGATCTTCTCAGCTGTGGTAGTTGCACTCTTATGGGCCAACACCGAGGGGCGGGTCGTGTTTGTCAAACCGTTCTCAGGCCCTTCGCCAGACTTTGTGCTTGGTCCCGAAGAGCTGTCTGCGGACACTGTTTGCTCCATGGAGATCTGCATCAACTCAGTAATGACAGGAAATATCTCAGGAAACGTTATTTGCAATGGAGTGCCCGCTGAAAACGTTTCCATTAAGCCGTCTTTGTCAAATGATCTATCAATGTTCATTTTGCCGACGTCTTGACCAAAGAATATGGCAAAGCAAAGTGACCAGATGGCAGGTATGTGCCACCATCTCTTCAAGTAATGGCGCATGAGAACGTAGCCCCCTGTCTTATCGGTGAACTTTTTACAGTAACTACCTCCATGAGTGATAAGGAGGCGAGCGATAATTCGGAGCGCCGACACCACGATCTCAGGGTCGTCCTCGCACAAGAGGTACAACAACCACTGTAGAATAGTCAGACATTCCCATCCATTTGAGATGTGATGAGCAGGCGTCTTTGACATACCTTGTTTGTCACAGCCCTAGCAAATTTCCTGATTGGACCAAGGTCATTTGCGTTGCAGAGCATAGAACAGTACATGCGAAGCATTTCTGCGGCGATTGTAGGGCTAGGCACGTATGCCACATTGTTATTGAGGACCTGCTGTTGCCGCACGCCCGTATTAAAGCGCATGCTCCTCTTTTTCTGAAGCCTCATGGGTTCCCGAGGCTTGTGTATGGCATAAGTGATAAACAGAGCTAGTGAGCGAAGCAGATCTGCTGATAAGCAGCTCTCCATCAGAGATTGAAAGGCAGGAATGAAAAGGGCCAATGCTTCGTGGGTAAAATCCTCCCCCTTAAGGGCTTCGAGCAATTTCTTGTTGACACCTATCTTTGGTTAGCAAAGATGTGCTATCATGATCTTGGCATTGACGAAAAGGAGAGCTCACGCATTCTAGCAAGTCGTTTCGCATTAAAACGACGAAACTGGCTTTCGCTGGCGAAGACACGGAACTGGGCATAGTAGAGTTCAAGTAATTGAATATCGCCGAACCTCCAGATCTCCAGGTCGACAAGCAGCACTCTGTATGCGAGAGGATTTGTGATCATGGACCGGTCGGTCTGTTCAAAGTCGTACCCAACAAACTTCAGTGTCAGACGAAGAAGTTCCAGGGTCAACGCGGATCGCTCCTCCTGACTGAAGCAGACAGTCGATGACTTTGCGGACCCCCCAGAAGTAACCACAAGCTTTTCGCGCAGCAGCGCTGCAAGTATACCATAACCATTTTCTTTCTCCATTGCTTCACTGTTACGCCAATTGTCCTGAACAGCCTCGTAGATAGCCTCAACCGCCAAAAGGGTTGCTTCCGTAGTACCGGCTGCATGGAGAAGGCTCAGATGTATCGCCGCGCAGCCGCCAATACACCAACTTGCATCGTCCAAAGAGTGTGGTACTGCAACAACAGGGTCGCCTGTCAACACACCCACGCCATGGGGTTGAGTCAATGCATCGTTTATAGCAGGAGTAGCACCATTTACCGCTACTGCATTCCCACCTGCTTTTGTCATCTGATGCAGATTCCGTGCGGCTTGTTTAGACAATGACTTGAGCAACCGGGTTTCATCGACGGTATTGCTATCATCATCGTCCAAGACAGACAGCGGAGAGACGTTGATGATAATGGAGCTCTCTTGGATGAGGGTACTAGCGCGTTTCCGGATAGCGGTGACAATATCTGATTGCTCTTCTTTACCAGGATGCAAGTGCTCGTTGCGTAAATTCAAGGAGGCCGAGGCCTTGTAGGTCTGGAAGGAGCCAAGACAGTCCTGAAAGTTGCCGTAATAGCGGGGCCCAAGATTATAGAAGACAGAAATCAGGTCATCGCTGTAAGCTTCTTCGAAGAGAATAGCACTAGCCAGAGACCATCGAGAGGAAGATACCCCTCTTCCCAGCCTCATTGCTAGATCCTGAGGTGTGCCCAGAAATGCCTGGACCCGTGGCGACCGATTTGGGGAACTTGCGACAGGCATGCACGGATATTCTATCTTCAGCTGTTCCACAAACTCGCCATCGATGAACAAGGAGGCACGAGAGTACGACGGTGGTCTAGGCTTCTTGTGAACCACACAAATATGGTACCATCGGTTAGGCTCGAAAGCAATGGATTTGAATCGGACACTAGGCCGTGCTCCCCTGATTGAAGTCTGCAGGATGAAGTTACGCGTATCCTTTTCAAGATAGGCCAGCAAGAAGCAGGTCTGCGTGGGGTCAAATGCCCCAAATATTGTGGTGTGTGTGTTCGAGTCAAATTGATCGAAACGCGCCCATACTGACAAAGTGTAACCAGACGAAGTTGCCGGGGGGAACGAGCGACCCATGGTAGAGAACTCTATCGAGCAGAAGCCATGCAATGACAGATCAAACTGTATGAAAGGGGGCCCTTTCGAGCGTTTGAGAACATCCACCAGGAAATGTAGAACTTTGGGGCAGTCATGTGCCCTCTTATAGAGGTACACTGCATCGTCTAGCTTGCCGACACCTTGAGCGCATAATAACTGTCCTAATTCCTGATATAACAGCCTCTCCGATTCTGAGAGCTCGTCACTGAAAAGGAGAGGAAGAATCAAAGACAGTGCTCCGGCATTGTGTAATGTGGTGATATTCCGCTGGGACTGAGAGGCCAGCTGAGACAGGCATGCAGGAACAGCAAGTTTCTGGACGTTGTGGTCAGACGGTGAGGCTGACGTCTGGCGCAGCCATACACGGATAAAAGGTTCCAGCAATTCAGGTACTTCAACGGTCTCAGACTGTCCTACGCATCGATCCACTTCTGACCGGATCTGATCAGGTAGTAGTTCGGAGGCCGATCGCAATTTTGTCTCTAACGTTGTGAAGATACTAGAGACCGCCTCCTGGCAAAGAGCCGCTGCCAGAATTCCGCTATAAATTTGCTCTGTGTCACCCCGCACGCCATCTGCCTTCTTCGCTATGGTCGCGAATATGTCCTCCAAGGTTGCTCGTCCTCCTCCAGAGATCCGAGTCGCAAAGTGTCGCTTGTTTCCATAATGGTCCTTCAATGCTTCTGCCAACACCGCCAATGTATCCTTGAAGAGTGCCAATAGTGACTTCCTCTGATCTTGCGAAACTTGTTCTGGATCATATAACTCCGCAATCTTCCAGAGGAGGTTGATCAGACAATGAAACCCTTGCAGGTGTCGAAAGTCCTCCTTAGCCTCTCGTGGATGGTCGTCATCGATAAATGTGTGGCGGAGACGGAGCAAACATTCGGTTGCCGAAAGTGCTAGCTGAGAGTCGATCGCATGCCCACTGGCGATAGTTCTCAGCTCCTCGACGACTGGGGTCAACTCGACGGCCGGCCGTACGATAGACGAGGAAGGTGACGGTGAGAGAAGGGAAGTAGTCTGGCTCATTGCGCCGCAGAATATTTTAACCCCGGCTCCCTATCTGACGGCTAGTGACCATCAGACACCATAAACCTTCGCTGAGTGTGATGGTGAAGACGGTCTGCATTGGTAGGTGTGGTAGCGGGTTCGTGGCCGACCAGAATCAATTTGCACACGCATACACCTGCCGATTCATAGGACGACCGGAGAAGGAGAGGAGAATGGAGGGGATGAGAAGCAAGGACGGGTCGGTTGCAGGAGAGAGGAGATCGGCGAGCGAATGTGCGTTCCGTGAGGAGTCAACGGAGTTAGAGGTTCTGTCGAGATCCACCAGGGACTGGGAAGGAGAGTGGGTGCGCTCTGTTGTTTCACGGGGGGGTGGTGTTTGGGAGGCAAGGCGACGGGTACCTAGTTTTGTGAGTTGTCTGCGGCGCGGGGAGAAAGAACTCGTATTCTTTCGAGTGGATAGAGAAAATGAACATACTTTGTATGTACTGTAGATTGGTGGGTGAATTGGTTCAACTAAGCCAACGTCACTTCCAACGAAAGCATGGCGGGGGAGGAGAGGCTACGGGGAACTGAGATCGGAACAGTCCAGGTTCTTTTTCCGCCCAGCAAAACTGCTCGCACTGATTTCAGCAACTGGGCAGTGCTGCCCTACGCGCTTGAAAGACGGCTGTCTCGGCTGGGTCGAGCTATTCTAGTTTCTCAACCATGTCTCCACTATCAGGAAGAATTGATAAGATCCATTGGGTTCCAGCTGAACTCGTAGCCACCCGAGCTTATCAAGAGACGGTGCCGCTTTTACAATATATGCCATGTCGACACCTCAGGCCCACATAGAGGATGGCATCAACACGATTCATGGGGTGGGGGGATTCATTAGGAGACTCGACAACATCGAGCACTTACTGCCTTGTCCCTCGTTGAAAGTATGTCTCATCGACACATATCTCTTCTAAGAAGGTTTTGCTGCTCTCATGGCTATCCTTGGGCCCTGGGATAAATGATGAAACCATGGGCTTCTCATGACACTCGAGTCGACTCGAAGAGGCCGCGCGGTCATTCCACCTCCATTTCCAATGCTTTGGTCAGCCTCGCACAGCTGTCTCCCTGGACCTTGGCTCACAGTAAGAGCATCAGTAACTTATATATTGTCAGCTTGGACAGTGGAGATTTGGCGATTGCTGAGCCCTAGCACAATGCCGAGGCGTTAACCATTAGGGAGCGGGAGTTGTCTCTTGAAGTGCAAACACGCTTTGGTACTCGTACTTCGGAGTAGTTTGATTCCTCCTTACTAAAGCCTGCCTCAAGAGGTGACACCTGCAGCCCTTAACACGTTTAACTTAGGCGTCACTAAATGGATTTAGGCCCGATATTGTCATTCTTCGAAATGGCGATATTGTTGAAGATATGTTGTCAGGTCCTCCTTGCTGTGATGAAGCAACCGAGTAACTAAAGCATGTGTCTCAAGACCTTGCTTGCTAGTGATGACCTATAAATAGTGCGATGCATTTTCACCATATTGACCGGTCTTCTTCACATTCATTATGAGAAATAATACACATGGCGGAAGGTGTTCACTGAGAAGTTCATCAATAGCTTACGCTACAGCTATGAATGATGAATGGGTTCAGCTAATCACCAGAAGGCTACACAAGAAGAGGTTACTCTTCCTGAAGCAAATTCTATATGACGGACAACGGAGTTATATAGTCACTCCCATGTCATTGTGCCACTGCCTCATGAACTTTATGAAGAACCCTGTTCCCTAACCTTGCAATCAGACCAGTCGAGCAGAATTCTAACTGTTGGATGTCGTTTTTCAGTGACTCATATACGAGTAATGCCCGGTCATTACATTTTCTTATAGGCAGAACGAGGCTCTTATTAGACAGACCAGAAGATATCATCAGAAAAAAAAAACCAGGAAATGAAGCCATCATGGAAACTCCGGAAGCTGGCGTTCTACTTCATCCTCGTACAGATTTGAGTTCCTGATGTGCCTTTGTCACCGTATGTTGCAATCATTGACTTTCCGACACTTGCAGCCCATTCAAGGGACTAAGCCGATCAATCTCAAGATTGAAAACAGTGGCGTCGGGGCACAATGACTGGTTCACTGCCTCAGCCTCGAGCATCCATGGACGGTCGGAAGGTGAATCCAGCGGTTACTCCAGTCAGCGATGCAGGTGACACAAGCGATCAACCGCAATCAAGACGATGATTGGTGTGAAGTGGGCCTTGATAAGCACCAAGCGGTCTTATCTATCCAACATTACAGGAGGTCCAAGGACCATGATACAGTGAACAGTAATGTAAGTTAATTCTTGGTAAAACCCCTTCCCGGAGGAGCAGGAGTCAGCCGAGCACTTCCAAGGACTCTCCGAGCACGCGACTCCGGGTTGCCTGGGTGCCGAGCGCGCGCTGCCTACCTTGTTAATGGTGGCGGGTAGTAGTTGGTCACATACCAGTCAGGTCAGGGCCAGGTACGTACCTGCAGTCCAGGGTCGGTTGCTCTAATTCCGCAACAAGGAGAGCTGATTGAGCTGATTGAGCTGGCCGAGGCGGGTAAGCTTGAAGAGCTTGTATGCAGGGTCATTTGATCACACAAGCGATAGCACACGAGCTTTAAATTAACGATGATCGTGAGGAGGGTCATTCAGAGAATTAAGTTATGTCAGTAACAATGTTAGTGTAGTATAGGACTCGAACAAGTAGGATGGTTGATTTGGGGGGGGCTGACCTATTCTTGAGTCACCCACCGCCCCCTCTCTCCTCGAGCTCTAAGGGCTAACTACTGGCAACTGGCTCCAAGGGTACCTCCTCGTCACCCACCCGCCAGCGGCAAGCGCATGTATCTTCCCTCTAGTAGGTCAACTAGTACTCGAGTAGGTAACGAGGGATGCAAGCTGCGCCCCAGTTCGCCTCATTATAGCTATTCCTGATATCTCAGATATTCCGAATCGCAGAATGGAGTTTCCGTAATCATGAACAGGCAGACAGGTAGAACCTATCAGCCTCTCTTACGTATACCCTCGGGATGTTTTAACGTTCCCCGGCCACGATAGGCTGGGGGATTCTCCGTTTACCGCCGTACTGTAACCCCCATACGTCAGTGTAGAGCAAGTGAGACTGTGAGTAAGGTAAACTGTAAACTGAAAAGTAAAGGTAAAGGTAAACTTACCTCTTTTGTATGATTATTTCCAGTTTACCCCAGAATCCGTTGCCAACCTTGGAGCCCGCGCTAATCACCGGGGCCCGATCGACGCTAAAGACCGAGAGAACCAAATGAATCTGCTGTGTCATCCGGTCATCCATTGTAAAGATAGTAAAGATGGTAAATTACCGTATGCCGGTTGCATCATCACCTGCTGCCCTTGCCTCTTGTTAGGATAAGCAGTCCCCATCTCCACCTCCATCCGCCCTTCTCCTCATCTCCTCGCCCTTCCTCTCTCTTCTTAATCAACAACTCCCCCATCCTCCGCCCTCCCTTCCATTCCTCCTCTATCTTTATCTTTGTCAACCTTCCTATCTCCCAGTTCCTTTTTCCCTTTTCCATCTCTCATTCCTTCCGTCTTTCCTCTCCCCCCTCCCTACCCTCATCGCTTCCCTCCTTTACACTGCCCTGAGCTTCCATCTTACCCCATACACTCATCATGAAGGGCATCCTCGGCCTTTCCGTGCTCCCGCTGCTGGCGGCTGCATCGCCTGTCTTTGTTGATTCTATCCACAATGGAGCCGCTCCCATTCTCTCCGCATCCAACGCAAAGGAGGTTCCCGATTCATACATTGTTGTTTTCAAGAAGCACGTCACCTCGGTCTCGGCCGCCGCTCACCACAGCTGGGTGCAGGACATCCACTCCTCTCAAAGCCAAAGCCAGCGGACCGAGCTGAAGAAGCGGTCTCTCTTTGACTTTGGTGAAGAAGTCTATCTTGGTCTCAAGAACACCTTCGACATCGGTGGCTCCGTGATCGGTTACAGTGGCCACTTCCACGAGGATGTTATTGAGCAGGTCCGCATGCATCCTGATGTAAGTTCTCTGTCGTCTCTGCCATGGCCACATCAACCCCTTCTAATCGCTCTTGCGTAAACAGGTCGCCTACATCGAGAGAGACTCCGAGGTTCACACCATGGAGGTGAACACTGAGAAGAACGCACCCTGGGGATTGGCCCGTATCTCCCACCGTGATAGCCTCACCTTTGGCACGTTCAACAAGTACTTGTACGACTCTGAGGGCGGTGAGGGTGTTGATGCCTACACCATTGATACCGGCATCAACGTCGACCATGAGGACTTTGAGGGCCGTGCCACTTGGGGCAAGACCATTCCTAACAATGACGAGGACCTTGACGGCAATGGTCACGGAACTCACTGCTCTGGTACCATTGCTGGTAAGAAGTACGGTGTGGCCAAGAAGGCCAACCTCTACGCTGTCAAGGTCCTGAGATCGAGCGGCTCTGGCACGATGTCCGACGTCGTTCAGGGTGTCGAGTGGGCTGTTGAGTCCCACCTGAAGAAGGCCAAGGATGCTAAGGCCGGTAAGGTTAAGGGCTTCAAGGGTAGTGTTGCCAACATGAGTCTGGGTGGTGGCAAGTCCAAGACCCTCGAGGATGCTGTCAACGCTGGTGTTGAGGCTGGCCTTCACTTTGCTGTTGCCGCCGGCAATGACAACGCTGACGCTTGCAACTACTCTCCCGCTGCTGCTGAGAATGCCATCACCGTCGGCGCTTCGACCCTCGGCGACGAGCGTGCTTACTTCTCCAACTATGGCAAGTGCACCGACATCTTCGCTCCTGGTCTTAACATTCTGTCCACCTGGATTGGCAGCAAGCACGCCACCAACACCATCTCTGGTACCTCGATGGCTTCTCCTCACATCTGCGGTCTCTTGGCCTACTTCGTCTCCCTTCAGCCTGATGCCGACTCTGCTTTCGCTGCTGGCGAGCTCACTCCTGCCAAGCTCAAGAAGGACTTGATCTCCATTGCCACTGAGGGTGCCCTTACTGACATTCCATCGGATACCCCTAACGTAAGTTGACCGCGTTCTCCACACTCTGGTAGTAATTGTGACTGATTATACTTTAGCTCCTCGCCTGGAACGGCGGTGGCTCCAGCAACTACACCGACATTGTTGCCAACGGCGGCTACAAGGTCTCCACCATCAAGGATCGCTTTGAGAACCTGGTTGACAAGGCCGAGAAGATGCTCTCCGAGGAGCTTGGCGCTATCTACAGCGAGATCCAGGACGCCGTCATTGCATAGATTTGATTTTTTGTTTCACAGACCTAGTTTGAGTTTTTGACGTCAAGACAAGACAGCTTGAGATCAAGACAAGAGCAGGTCGGACATTGGCGCTGGCTTTTTTTATCCTATTACTTTGGAGTTGATGCATTGAGTGCGTCAATTGTACCATCCTGATGTTATCCGCCCGTCTGACCTATCCTTACGGTAGTATACATGTCGCAAAGAACCTATGACGCTTTGATCTAGAATTTTTGGGTGCTTTTACCAGACTGTCAACTTGTTACGATTATTAGAGAAATAGTATCTTGCTGATGGAGATCAGTCAATGTAGTTTGTATGAGAACATCTGTATCTTGTGGTGTGACTGCCTGACGAGAGTGGAGCTCATCACATGTTACGTACGGAACAGATAGCTTCGGTTCCTCGTCGTCGATAAGCAATTGAGTTCCTTACTGTACTTTATATGCACACATACGCCTCACTGAAACGCTGACTGAGTGATTTCGATCTTGCTCCTAGGCTTGGATTGACGTCTACATCTGTATTGAGCGATGCGCTTCCCACTATTCTAGCGGTAGCTCAGCGCCCATCCACGACGCCGGGTTATACTGACTGTACTATACAGTGCAAAGCACCGCGGCGAAGGCCAGGTCCTACTCATACGTAAGTTCCCCTTCTGATAAGGCCCGAACTCCACTTATTCATCCATCCACATGACTCCCCCCTCGAATAACTCAATGGCACCCGCACTCTCTCATTCGAACCTGCCGAATACACCTCGCGTTCTCATCTTCGCGCCCCTACAACTAAAGAGGCTCAGCGCAGATGCTAATCTCATTCTTTGTAACCAGTCCTCTCTCGATACCGCCGGCGCAAAGCATAGCATTTGAAATCCGCGCTATACTGTACGAGGTCGCTACGAACCTCTCCCCAGGAACGTTATGCTTTACTTTCCTCACCGCGCGAGAGCTGCTTAGCTTAGCGTTGGCAGGATTATGCATGTAATGAGGAGGGGTAGGGAATGGGGAAGGAATGAGGAAGATCGACGGGTCTCGGACAATCACCCCTCCCTCTCCTGGGTCTCTTCCCCTCCCGCGTGATGGTATCATCAGGACGGACGGTCAGGCACCGGGAGCCCATACACTAAGTATGCTACATGCGAGAAGAGTGCTAAGTCGGAGGCGTTCGGAGGCCCCCCCCCCCCCCCCCCCCCCCGGCGCCCCGCTGGGATGTGTCGCTGGATTGAGATATGATCGGCTGGAAGATTACTCAATACTCTCACTGGTGGTGTTGGTGGATGACATTCCTGTCCCGTGGAGGGGTGACATCATCTTCTTTGGATCATCTGCTTCGGTTGGACTTTTGATTAGCGCTGCTTAGGCATTCGCTGTGATACTGTGCTACGGGGGGGTTTTGATTCTGGGAAGATTTGAGATTCGATGATGATAAGAGTAGATGATGGCTAAATGATATATGCATGCATGCATTGAAAAGAAAATACACCCCGTCCGTCCATGCTCTGCAGATGAAGTGGATGTGTAAATCACAGATAGAGATATGCTGCTCCGTGGCCTATATCGTCCGTCCAATGCGCCTCGCTATGCCGGTTATAAGACAGAAAATAGAAGGAAAAAAATAAGGCAGAAAGAACCCAATGTGTTCCAAGCGCCGGATCCAGGAGGCGAGAAGAAGTCTGGCGGATTTGCCCGTCGCAAACCCACAATGTACAGGGGAGCTCCGATTAGACTCCCCTCAAGACTTGTTGACTGGCTCGTCTTCCTCCTCACTGCCCGTCTCCTGGTCCTCATCATCCACATCCAGATCCTCGTCGGAGTCGCTGCCTCCGAACACGTCGTCGTCGACATCGCTCTCCGCCCAGAAGTCGGAGTCGTCCTTCTCGATGGCCCTGGCCGTCGAGGTCGTGTGGTGGGTGGGCATGACAAACCCCTCGGGAATGTCCTTCTTCGAATCTTCCACGTGCTGACGGACGATCGACTTGTAATGCTCGGGGTTCTTGCGGAGCATCACCGAGGCGTCCACGTTGGCGGGCGAGGAGATCTCTGCGTCGTCGAGTAGCGAGAGGATAGATATGAGGACGGATTCGACTCGCTGGGCCGGGGACCACCGCTCCGAGGCTAGTTCGCCCGACATTTCGTCCTCGCCGGGCGCATGGAGGATGGAGATGCACAATTTTCCGTCTTTGTAGATGTTCGGATGATAGAGGGGACGAAGGAATCGGAACTCTGTATGATAATAATGACATCAAGTTAGGCGATATGCGCATTTCTGGTATAGAAAGGGGAGGGAGGGGCAAGGCGCTTAGGGCCCAGGCGTAGCGAACACGGGCTGACCAACCTGGAGGGGAATAAGGGTAGTTGCTCGGAAACTTCATTGAGGCCTTGAAGTATCCGCCATAGTAGAGCGAGTCTGGGTTGAGGACGATCAGGCCCACGTTCCAGTTGAGAATGTTCTGTTCATCGATCTGGGAGCGAAATCCGGTCAGTATCCTTCACGATAAGGGGGAAGTGGTCCGCGGTTAGGTGGATAGTTCCGCGACATGTCAACCTAGACAAGAAATCCATGGGAACGTACTTCGATATTAACCCATGGCTCTTGCGACAACGACTTGTACTCGTTCATCAAGATGCGTTCCACCATGGTGAGCGACGGAGAGGCAGGGGTGGCGGGCGGGGAGTAGCCACAGAAATCAAGGGGTACAAATGAATATACACAGATCCCAAGTGGTGAAGCAGAGTAGTTGAAGATATTTACGTAGATCGCTTCCTTCGGGTTCTGAAGATCAAATAGATAGGCAGTAGTGGTGGTGGTGGTGGTGAGAGACACGATCTTGTGAGGGGAGACAAGTTGGAGTGAGGGTCATTGTCCGGCAAGAGACGCCGCTCGGTGAAAGAGGCCGCTAGTCCCGCTGTGGCAATCCATGCTATCCCACGCGCAACGGAAGGTCCCGGGGGAGTGGCGTGCCCGATTCCCTCATCACTTCCTTAGAAATCCGATGGAATCTCTCCGCAGAGTTTTTTTCTGCCATGAGCCACCTCGATCTAGCGAAACCTACCTTATACCTACTTGAAGTAATACCCGAACAAGCAGGCGGGTTCATAACCCATGACACTCAAGCTCCGAGGCAATGCCGCTGTGTTCAAGCATTGATAAGATACAAGTCGGAAGGGTCTTCAAAGTCGGCTTAGTCAGGCCCCAAAGGTGGGAAAGACACCCCAGGGCAGCCACTCACAGTGTAGAAACAGATGAGCAATCACTGACGTTCATTGGTTTTCATAGCTTAAGAGGAGAACAAACAGTGGGGGCTCGAGAGGGGGGAAAGCAGCCCTTCGAGTGGGGAAAAGTCGCTGTAGTCTTATTTAGGACTACTTTGGAGTCTTGGACCAGCTGTTCAGTTATCATCGTGTTCGTGATATCATTACGGCATCGTCCCCAGCAATCCGGGTGAAACCCTCTATTCCAGGCGGAAACCTGGAGACGCGGACCGACGGAGTTCCTAAGGACTACCTTAACAAGAAGGGCTCCTGGATGGACAAGACATGCCACTGAGTCAAAGGCACATATCCTCTTCTAGCCGCCTTGCTGCTCCTGCTGTTCCTCGCTGCTTATCTCTCGGATGATAAAGAAAGCGCCCCATCAGACTCAGATTACGAAATCAGCTAATAACTAACTTATCCCATTTTCAGACGCCGACGCCTGTCAAGTGATGACCTTCCCAGAGCTTGACTCACAGCTCCAAGCGAAATTTGATAACAGCCAAGCGCGCATGACGAATCAACCGCGTCAATTGCAACAAAAGGTCAAAGGGTCGAGTTTGTCAGTCGAGTCGGTGTGACCGGCAAGGGGTATGCAGCATGCACGGACAGCCCGACAGCCCTCGCATGTCCCTATGTTCCAACCCCTCTCATTCCTCCATTTTCCATGAAAATTTAGTTTCGACGAAAAGTCAAGAAGAGGTCTGTGGGTAGGAAGTTCGAGACCATGTTCTTCGTAGCTTTCTTCGACAATAGGAAAAATCCAGAGCTCGTCGACTGCGGAACGAACCCTAGAGTTCTCACAAATCTGGGGACATCTGCCCTAATGACTCCAAGAAAAAGCGAAGATGAAATCCTTCAAGATCGCACCTGGCAAAGTGGATCCACCAGCCAGAAAGAGGTGGTTAAAATAAAGTGATTTGATTTGATCTGTGATACATCAATTCCACTGGACGCATCGGGAATGCAAGCATCTGATAATGACTGAATGACAAGAAGACTGCATGTTTTGCCCACGTCTTGCGTGCAATGTCAGCATTGCGTGAAGGACGGATGGAGGGTTGACCATGGATCCAGAGGAGTCATAAAAGTCTCAGAAATATAGTATCTATCCTGGCGAATACCGAGCCATCGTTGGTGAAACACCACTAGTAGAATTGGGTGTAACGGCAGTAATACTAATTCACTTTTGTCGCAGCGTGGGAAGCCTGGAAGGCAATTGGATTAGTTTCCTGGGGGTCTGGAATATTCGTTGCGGGCGGAGGAAAACAGCCTCCACTACTATTTTTTCTAGTTTTTCCAGGGCAAGTTAGAGGCTGACTAGGGGGGAAGAAGACTGACTAACGAGTCTTAACGAACTAGTAACTTAGTCTAGTAGGTTAGTTAGCTGGTGGACTGCTGTGTAGCCTGCCGGGCTGTTCTCCACGGGCTGTCCCACTCGCTCGGCGTCCGCCTGCTGCTCGTCATCGCCGCATTTCTGTCTTCTTGGTCTTCCACCTTTCCTCTCCTTCCCCCCTCCCAGTTTTTCTCTCTCTCTCTCTCTTTCCCTCCACCTTCACTGCCTACCCTCGTCTCCTCTCTCCTGCAACAACCTATATCATCGCTGAGGTCGTGCTATGTTGCTAGCCTCCTCGCGACCATCGCCGCTGTATAATTGCGCCCGTGCCTAACCGTTGCTCTGGTGGAAAAGTTGACTACATCGCTTTTCTCCGCCTTCCCGTTCGGCGATGCTAGGCTTGTCCTGCATCTATATGCCGTGACGTTGTCTCTCTTGCCACTGCACAGGACGCCTTCTCGTCTAACAATTGCTGGCTAGCCTAATTCAGTCTATATCTCGAATTCAGCACACAAGCGCATGATCTGTGCAGCTCCTCTGTTTCGACCGTTCTTCGTCTACCAATAATGGGGGTGGAATGCCATGGCCCTATCTGGGCCGGTGATGACCTCTCTCGTTGCTTCCAACGCAAGTACGTTGAATTTCTCCGGCCAGTGTAGGGCGCTGTGCCAGAATATGAACTAACAAGCCATGATTCTAGCTACCTGCAAGTTATTCTCCCGCTCACGGCCTGCGGGCTCTCTCTAGTTCTCATCGTGCTTCGCGTTGCATACGGTTATCTATTTTCTCGCAGAGGGGTTTCATACAAGATCTTGGTGAATAACGAAGAAGATGAGGATACGGCAACCACGGCTATCGGGGACGATGAGGAAGGGGAAACAGATCCAATGCTGAGTAAAGCAACGCAAAGCGAGGTGCCTCACTTCGAAGTGGATCGCCCACGGGGCGAGATTGCCATTCTATCTCTGGAAATCCTCGCGCTTGCGGGAGAAGTGGCCGTCTTTGTGGCTGTTCTATCTACAGATGCTTGGGGTCGTCAGGGCTCTCTCCCGGCCATTGCGAAGCTAGTTTCATGGTCCTATATATTATTCCTGGCATTGGTCCGGCTGCTCCTATCGACGCTGGACCTCCACTCTTCTCCTCGGCTCTGGAACCATACTGCGGCTTTGTATGGGCTGCAATGGCTGTTTACCGTCTTCATTTTCCGATCTGCCGTCATCCACCCACTTTCCAAGCGCGCCTTGACCTTCAGTTCGATTGAATTCGCCTTGTCGACTCTCCTTTTGCTGGTTGCAGTGACCACCCGCAGAGGGAACAAGTCTGTCCTCGTTTCGCATGAGGACGGCCTGGAGCCCGCGAGACATCCCACGGCCAGCTTGCTCTCGCTTGCTACCTTCGGATGGCTGGACCCCTTGATCCTCAAGGGCTACAGACAGCCCCTGGAACTCGACGATGTCTGGGACTTGACTGCGTCTCAAAAAGCCGCCACGGTGCTGGAGGACTTCCGACGCAGGCACTATCAAGGTGCTCTCTGGTGGAAGTTGGCCCGTTACTTCTACGGTACGCTTCTTTACCAGGGCGCCTGGACGATCTTCTCAAACTGCTTCACGTATCTGCCCACTATCTTGCTTAGAGCGATCCTTCAGTATGTCGAGGATCCACGATCGACCACAGCAAATGCAGCCTGGCTATACGCCATTCTTCTGTTCTGCTCCGGAGCCATTCAAGGTATTGCTGACGGACAAGCCCTTTGGATTGGACGCAAACTCGGCGTCAAAGTCCGTGCCATCATCATTGGCGAGATCTACGCCAAGGCTCTGCGGAGAAAGGCTGGCTCAACTGTCGAAACCGCCCCTAAGAAGGCTTCTGAGGTGGATGACGACAAGAAAAAGAAGGGTGGCCTGTTCTCCTTTGGTCGCAAGAACAAGAAGAAGGCGACTGCCGACCCTGAAACGAACGGCACCACAGCGAAAAATTCCAAGGAAGCTGATGAAAAACAATTGGCTAACGTTGGTACTATCATCAACCTGATGGCCATTGACTCTTTCAAGGTTAGCGAAGTTGGCGCCTACCTGCACTTCCTCTGGGCCAGTGTGCCTACTCAGATTATCATCGCTGTCACCCTTCTCTATCGTCTACTGGGCCTGAGCTCCTTTGCTGGAATCGTGATCATGGTGCTCATGCTACCTGTGAACCTCATCATTGCCAAGCAGTTCTCAAAGGTTCAGAAACAGATTCTGAAGGGAACCGATGCTCGTATCCACAGCACAAATGAGATTCTGCAAAACATTCGGATCATCAAATATTTTGCGTGGGAGCAGCGTTTCCAGGATATTGTCAACGAAAAGCGCAAGACCGAATTGAAGGCTCTCCGATTCCGTTACATCATCTGGTCTTCAGCAGCTACCGTCTGGTACGGCACGCCAATCCTGATCACATTTGCCTCGTTCTTCTTGTACACGGTGGTGGAAAAGAAACAATTGACACCTTCAATCGCGTTCCCCGCATTGTCCATGTTTTCTCTGCTGCGTGTGCCTTTGGATCAGCTAGCAGATATGGTGGCACACGTGCAGGAATCCAAAGTCTCGCTCGATCGTGTGGATGAATACCTCAATGAGGACGAGACTGAGAAGTATCGTCTGCTTGATCACGAGGAATCGCCTGGGGAGCCAGCTAAGATCGCACTGGAGAAGGCCACTCTCAGTTGGGGTGCCTCCAAGACGGGATATTCCGATGACCCATCGGACGACGCCAAGGACAATTTCCGCCTGATCAACATGGATGTGTCGTTCAAGGTCGGCAAGCTGAATGTTATCACCGGCGCTACTGGGTCTGGAAAGACGTCTTTGCTTATGGCCTTGTTGGGTGAGATGAAACTTCTGGAAGGAAGGGTCTATCTCCCTGGCGGCACTGCGAATCGCGCGGAACTTCCTGTGGATCCGCAGACGGGTCTCATCGAGAGTGTTGCGTACTGCGCACAGGAAGCCTGGCTTGTGAACGCTACCGTAAAGGATAACATTGTGTTTGCATCTCCGTTCGACCAACGCCGGTACAATGCTGTGATCAAGGCATGTGCTTTGGAGAGAGATCTCCAGATTCTCGACGCTGGTGATCAGACTCTCGTGGGCGAAAAGGGCATCAGCTTGTCAGGCGGTCAGAAGCAGCGGATCTCCCTCGCCCGTGCGGTCTACAGCAGAGCTCGCCATTTGCTCTTGGATGATTGTTTGAGTGCCGTAGACTCGCACACCGCCAAGCATATCTTCCGTCAGGCTCTGACTGGCCCTCTTATGATGAACCGATCCTGCATTCTTGTGACGCACAACGTTGCTCTCACGGTCCCTCAAGCAGATTATGTGCTTGTCCTCAACAACGGCAAGATCGCAGCACAGGGCCCTCCGGATGAGGTGGCTGCCTCGGGGGCCTTGGGTGATGAGCTCCTCAAATCTCGACCGACATCCAGGGCAAGCACTCCGCGCCTTTCTCGCAGACCCTCTGATGCCGAGGAACAACAAGACGATAACCACGCGAATGGCTCGGCAGTCAATGGCACCACCGCGAAGATCTCAGAAGGGAAAGACGACCCGTCCAAACTCAATGAGTCTAAAACGACGGGCAGCATCAAATGGTCGACGATTAAGATGTATCTGCTTTCAATGGGCTCTTGGTCCTACTGGCTTGTCGCTGTTCTAGTGTTCTGTCTGCAACAGTTAGGATCGGTCTCTACCAACATCTGGATCAGGCAATGGGCGAACTCGTATCAGACCCAGGGCGCTGGACAGGAGGATGCTGGCGATTATGCGGCGGTGGCCAATCTCAAAATGCCCTCGTTCAATGCTGGCGGTGTTCCCCGTACCTCGGTTTTCAGCGCACCCCAATTCAGCACCCGCAAGAATGACGGGGTTGACAACGATGTGAACATCACGTACTACCTTGGTGTTTACGCGCTGTTGGGTCTTTCCTTCGTCCTGATCTCCCTGCTCAGAGAAGCCGTCCTTTTCTGGGGCTCTCTGCATGCTTCGTTCACCATCCATCAACGTCTCTTGAGGTCCGTGATTCATGCTAAGTTCAAGTTCTTTGACTCGACTCCTCTCGGCCAATTGATGAACCGCTTCTCCAAGGATGTCGAGGCCGTTGACCAGGAAGTTGCTCCTGTCGCCATTGGCATGCTTCACAGTCTCGCGTCTGTCATCATGATCGTGATACTGATCTCGGTCATCACCCCCGGATTCTTGATTGCTGGTATCTTCATCACGCTGATCTATGTCGCTCTTGGTGCTGTCTACGTGAACTCTTCTCGGGACTTGAAAAGACTGGAATCTGTACAGAGAAGCCCGCTGTATCAGCAATTTGGCGAGACCTTGAATGGTATTGTGACCATCCGTGCCTATGGTGACGGACCGCGATTCATTGTTGATAACCATCGTCGGATCAATGCCTACAACCGTCCTCATATCTATCTCTGGGCTAGCAACCGCTGGCTTGCCTTGCGTGTTGACGTCACTGGAGCTCTGGTCTCTTTCTTCACTGCTATCTTCGTCCTTGCGAATGTCGGGAAGGTTGATGCCGGTGCTGCTGGACTTTCTTTGACATATGCGGTGACGTTCACCGACAACGTTCTTTGGCTCGTCCGGCTGTATTCTGAAGTCCAACAGAACATGAACTCGGTGGAGCGAGTCAAGGAGTACCTCGATGTGGAACAAGAGGCTGATGCTGTCATTGCCGACTCCAGACCGCCGGCTCAGTGGCCCAGTGGCGGCTCGGTTGAGTTTGCCAACTATACCACGCGGTACCGGTCTGACTTGGATCCTGTTCTCCGGAATGTTTCGTTCACGGTACAGCCTGGCGAGAAGGTGGGCATTGTCGGTCGTACGGGTGCTGGAAAGAGCTCTCTTGCCCTTGCGCTGTTCCGCGGTCTTGAAGCCGAGAAAGGACGCATCGTCATCGACAACGTGGACATCAGCAAGATTGGTCTCCGCGACTTGCGTGAAGCGATCACTATCGTTCCTCAAGACCCTACTCTCTTCACGGGCACCATCCGGACCAACCTCGATCCCTTCAATCTCTTCACCGACGAACAGATCTTCACCGCCCTCCGGCGCGTCCATTTGATCGGCCCAGGAACCTCGGGCACTGCTACACCCACAACGACTAGCACTGTTGCGGAGCCCAGTGCAAATGGTGTCACCAGCAGTACTGTCCTAGACAACAAGAACATCTTCCTGAACCTGGAGACTGCCGTTTCCGAGTCCGGGTCCAACTTGTCTCAAGGCCAACGCCAGCTTCTATGCCTTGCTCGTGCCCTCCTCAAGAACCCGAAGGTACTGATGATGGACGAGGCCACCGCGTCGATTGATTACAATACCGACTCGAAGATCCAGGAGACGCTACGCGAGCTCCGGGAGAGCACGATCATCACGATCGCCCACCGCTTGCAAACCATCATTGACTACGACAAAGTGCTGGTGCTTGACCATGGTCAGGTCATAGAGTTCGAGCACCCGTGGACGCTGATCAACCGCGAGGATGGTCTCTTCCGCAGCATGTGTGAGAACAGTGGAAATATGGATGGTCTTCTGGAGGGTGCCAAGAGGGCCTGGGAGAGTAGGAGTGGGGACACCTCGACATAGACTGCATATTATTGAATCATGAGTCATTTGCCGGGGATGATCAACATTTTTCATCACATACATACCACTGTTGTTCTTTTCATTGTGAATTTTTCCTGTGCACTGGGGCCATAAAAGTTATGGTACATAATTATCTCAAGGCGCGTGTCTATTTTACATCGCTGTATGTGTTTGATTGTTTTCATATATGATAGAGAATCAACTCCATTGTTTGATCATTCTTGGCTAGGCCTGCCACCAATGACTTCTGTAGTAAGTGTAAATGGCTCGGAGTTCTTTGTTTGACGGGGCGTGGTCATCTGGAGGTGATGGTGGATGCTGGGAGTGATGCTGGGAGTGACGCCGGGAAGTGAGATCGGGCCGGGAATAAATGCCGCATAATGAGTGGTGCTGTTCACGAACCGGCCAATGGGAGTCCAGCTACTATACTTCTCAAAGTATACTACAGCCTGGAGCCCATGTCACTGAGCAACCTCAAGCCCCCCCGAGACAACGTCTGTATATTTAAGGCGAGATTCGTCTGCCCCTTCACCATGCACAATCCTCATCAACATCATACCATTCCAATTAATAGAACAAGACAACATGTCCAGACCGAAGGTCCTATTGATCGGTGCCACCGGCAACACAGGCGGTAGCATCCTGGACGCCATGCTAGCTGCCGACCAATTTGTATCCATCCATCCATCCTATCCATTCAGTGTATGAATTGGAAGTATTCAAACCCGCTAACCATGCAACGAAACCACAAAGGACATCGAACTCCTCATCCGCCCGACCTCCGTGCCCAAACCCGCCGTGCAAGCCCTCCTCCAGCGCGACAACCTGTCCCACCGCGTCGTGGACCTCGACCTCCCCGAGGACGCCCTCGTGCCCGCGCTAGCCGGCATCGACATCCTGGTCAGCACGCTCGGCCCGGCCACCGTCGCGCAGGAGAAGACCCTCGTGCGCGCCGCCAAACGCGCGGGCGTGCAGCGCTTCGTCCCGAGTTCGTGGGTGACCGTTGCCCCGCCGTGGGGAGCGATGCTTTTGCGGGAGGAGGTGGGTGTCCCTTGGCTTCACTTGGCCTCTATACCTACCTACCCATCCCCCGAATTCCCTTAAACATACAACCCCAACCTTCCCCCCTTCCCCCCAAAACAACCCCGATTAACAGGCAGAAACAGAAAGAAGAAATCCTCGCCGAACTTCGCGCCCAAAACATGGACTACACCGTCATCGACGTGGGCTACTGGTACCAACTCTCCCTCCCCCCCGTCCCCTCCGGCCGCCTCTCCTACGCCATCCCGGTGCCCTCGACCACCATCCACGGCGACGGCACCGCACCCACCATCCTCACCGATCTCCGGGATATCGGCCGCTTCGTGGCGCGCATCGTCGCGGACCCGCGCACGCGCAACCGGTCCGTGTACACGTGCTCGGCGGTGTTGTCCGAGGAGGAGATCTTTGAGATCGTGGAGGCGGTTTCGGGGGAGAGGGTTGGGAGGATACATGTATGTTCCCTTTTTTCTTTCTTTCCTTGGGGGTTCCTGGTGGCTTGTTATGGGTTGGGGTTGGGGTTGAGTGAATTTGGAGCCGGGGGTATGGCATGCGTTGGTTGTGGAATACTGGGGCTGACGAGAAGGCGGGGGCCAGGAATCCGAGGAAGAAACCCTTCGCAACGTCGATCAAGCGCTCGCGGAGCTGGCCGCGGATCCCACCGATTTCTGGAAACGGGCGCAGGTGTACCTGGCGCAGTACCGGTGCAGCAAGTACGTGCGCCGCGAGAATACACCCCAGAAGGCGGCGGAGCTGGGGTATCTGGATGCCAGGGCGCTGTATCCGGACCTGAGGACGGTGGAGTTCGGGGAGTTTGTGGGGGAGGTGCTTGCGGGGCGGGGGAGGAATCCTTATCCTCGGTCTGGCTTTTGAGTTTGATTTTGGGCGGGTTTGGTGTGTATATGGGTTCGTATTGGGGAGGGAGATCTGGAGGTGAGCGGGCTGGGTTGGTTTGGATGATGGTCTGTGTTATGGTGTTTTTGCGGAGGATCTGATCGTATAGTAGAATCTTCCTTAGCTAGCTAACTGGTAACTCGCTCGAAATACTTGGTGATCCAGAGGCCAGAACTCGAAGGACCATAATTTGTGTAATCTATCTACAGCGTGGGTGCATTATGAGTCCAGTTCCTCTCAATCAGTTATAGAACAAACTTTTCGGATTTCTGCCGGAAGATACGAGCTGGATAGCTACGAACTGGATTGATATGAACAAGATTCCAGTGAAGATGAATACTGGCAGCAGGGTAATCCCGTATCGGAAGGACATGTTTCCGCATGTCCTTCGCATGATGGCTGTCGAATCTCTGATAAGCCCTTGCCTGTTTTCATCTGTTTGTCCCCATAGGTACCTGTTGTATTGTAGTGCCTACCTAAGCCTACTATGTATGTTGTTTGGGTGCATGGGGGAAAACCCCCATCGCAATCTGAAAAATCTATGTAGTTGTAAGGCTAAGCCTAACAGTGGAATACATTCAGATGTATAGCCCCACTCAGATCTTCGGACCCCCTTATCGGTTGTAAACCAACAAGTTGCGAAACACTACTAGGTAGCTTTCGCCAATGGCTGAGGTACACAATAACTGCCATGTTATATGAGGTAGCAAGCATACTTCACCGACCAGAATTGACTTACCCGGGTCGGCTTAGGGCAAAGGATACCAACTCACAGTGCCTTCCATCAAAGCTGTTCCCCCAGGGATCTCAGCGCCTCATCAACATCGTCCCTCGTCGCATCCTGCTTGACTTTCACCGTCCCGATGACGGCATGAGTGCCCCTATTTCTATCTCTCCAGCCTTTCCACGAACTGGGAATCTTCCCAGCGTTGGGCTGCACCTGGTACTTGTGGTACACCGAGCCGTTCTCCTCGATGGTGCCATCGTAGTCAAAGCGGACACCGTGGTTCTCCAAATTACTTGCCGACTTCGGCCACTGAGTCTTGCCTCTCCCGACGGTCGGTCTGGGAAGTTTCTCCCAGACCTTGGAACCCGGGCCTGTGATCGCTTCCACCACACTGTTCCATGCTTGCCGTAGCATTGTCGAATAGCTAAGAACACTACAAAGATAGCGGGAAGCCTTGAGTCTGGATTTGTTCGCGCGCAAGATAATCCGCACGGGAAAAGATACAATTGGGGTGCATGGACATAGAGAACAGTACGGACAAATGGATAACTCTTATATAGCTGATCTGTTGAAGCATTTTGCCTACAAAGACATTGCAAGTAAGGAGCAATCAAGTGACGAGTAACGGGAAGGAAGCAGAGAATGAATGCACTTGCTGTAAATTTACCTGCAACTCGCAGCATTTAGCGGTGTCTTATCAGATACTCCTTTGTGCAGGAGGTAGGATGCTTAGTATTATGCACAAAGACAAAGAAACCTTTTGCTGGGATTACGCTTGTATTCTAGGATGTAACCGCAGAAGCGCGCCAAGTGTAGATAGGATTAGTTCTCCAAGACCTCACAGCCTGAGCACTGGTCACAGATTCCGAAAGAAGATGTTGATAGTAACATAGTGCTAAGACGTTAGCTATCCTTGCTAGAAGCTGGTTGCTGTATATTCATTTAACTAGTCTGAAGACTAACCTGGATCATGTGCAGTACTCCGTACTGCGCGCCGAACCCTGTACCAACAGGACTTACAGTCTCCTACTTCCACTTACAACTGTATCTAATGGAGCTGGTATACTATTCTAAATATCAGTTATCGACTTCTTCCAGAGTTATGCAAACTCAGAAAAATATTGTTGGAATGCCTTGGATTGTGCTGTCAACAACAATACTACAGCGCACAATTGAGAGATTGCTTTTATGACTACTTAGAGAAACAATCAGAGAGCTACACACGCCTATTTCCAGGAACATGAAAAGAATGCCAATGTACGAATTGGCTGTGATATCTGCTCTCGCCAAACCTAGCCCAGATCATTCGCACACACAAAGGACATCTGCAAATGGGTGCGTGCCTCTTTGTCAGTACGCACCAAAATGACCGACAGGGTCTTCTTTGATCCACACGGTCTGAAAAGGTGCCCTTGTCCATCAGTGTCATCAAAGATTCCCGGCAGCAACGCACGGTGGTTCGCGTATTTATTTGAAAAATCGATGTCGAGCGCGGAGACTGGGATACATTGAAGATGGAGATTTCAATTAGTGGGTTGGGTGGTGGTGTTGTTGAAGTATCTCACCATATGTACAGAGCAAGAACACGGGAGGACGTCACGCAATGACACTTGTAGAAGCATGAAATAAATTTGCAATGTCAGAGCCTTCTACCAGGCTCTGATCCATAAAGCCCTGTTTAAAGACAAGTGCACAATCCTATTATAGCTTTTTCAAGTCGAGCCTGCGGTTGCAGACAACCACAGCTTCTTTAATCCTTCAATGTTCTGAACTTAGACCCCACTTATAGTATCAAACTTGATATCAATCGTCCTTCAACTTAAAAACCTTAGCGCACCGTTATCGTAAACCTTCTCCGGCAGTACCGCCTACCAAAGTGATTTCCGGAACCGAGCTATTACTGCCCTGTATGTACGTATAACAAGCATTAGTCAATCGAAGATATACCGATACCAGAAGTTTCTAAAATATTTGTAGTACAGTGTATGGGGTCAGGCATGAACCGGCAATAGAAATAGCCCATCCAGCCCGAATCCTTCGGATTTTATGTAAAGTTATCCAACCCCGCTTGTGACTACAGCCCTAACACAATGGATACATAGAGGAAGAAGATATTACCAAGCCAGCCGTGTTATAAAACCAGATTGAACCAGGTCCAACTTATAGTACTGCATAGCCCCAGCGACAACTTTTCTATATAATGTAGGAACTTCTACACGCTGGTGAAAGAGGCCGGTCCCATCAGAAAAACCAAATTCCGCACAAGAGGCACAGTAGAGCAACATCTCAAGAAACCTTCGCCGTCAACTTCTAGAATGCTTATTTTCGAGGAAGTGCGGTGTAAGCTTCAACTTCTATACACAAAATAAAGCTCGCGAATGCCTTCGGATTATTTTGTGCTAGCGACGTGGAATATCACTAGCCCTTTGCTAGGTGAGTCTACCTGACGTGTGGTATAGGATCTACCTCTTTGAGCAATCGTGGTATGCCAGGCTCCAGGCTCGGGACTCAGCTTTCTGAAGACCATTAAGCTTAGCTCAATCTGGTGGAAAATGACATCGACCCCCTGTAAGCACGTGACTTTCCTCCTTCCCCCCCGGGGGGCATGAATCCCCAAGGATATCACCCTAACCCGAACCAGCCTAGCGCAGACACCTTAAACTCTCCTCTGCAGACCTAAAATCCCCCCCCCCCGGACGATCCGGAAGGATATGGAGCCCAGGGCTCAGGTGGACGATCACGCAGACTGACAGGAGCTGCAGATCCTGCACTATCAACGCTGCTGTTCTACCACTCTCTCTCCAATACAGTGACTATCGTGCAACCAAAAAGTAAGAGGGAGACGTGCAGGGGCGGGCACAGCCCCAGTCAAACAATCTCTCAGCCTAGAATGCACAGTACTGCACGGCAACAGTGCGATTACGCTCTCGACTTCGACCTTTCCCATCCGTTCCGGACGGATGATATCACCATCCACCGTGCAAAATTCCCATTCTGACAGCAGCATATCTCCCGGATGGTTCCTACTTCCGTTAGGGTCCGGTGAAATCTTTTCGTTTATTACGGTCAATCCTATAGATGTTCTTTCGATGATCTCACACCCAACCACAAGTCCAAAGACAAACTTTGACAACCTCCTGTCGAACCCTGGAAGAACACCAGTTCGCTAGAGCACGGGGGCTGGTTGGGAATTTCGCCGCCGTTTCCCCCCTATCACCACCTCTAAAACCAGGCCAGATGATGTTGAGATACCCACCCCGCCCAAACCTCCACCCTCCTTACGGAAATGCCCGGCGGCGGGGAAACGGGAAATGTCATGATGCAAATCCAGTGGAGAGAAGCCCATTCCGCCTCGATGCTTGGATGACCGCGCGTCGTGCATGCTCGGAAGCATGAGGGTTCCACACCCATCATCATATCGTTGCATCTGCTTGCGGGTTTTGACGACATTCGAGACTTCGGCGAACGGTGCTGGAAACCTTGTTTCGCTGGCGGAACCGCGCAGCTACCCACCGACCACATATAAGTATATCTCACGGGAGAATCCCTCTTTCTACCAGGCATCCACCCTTCGCTCCAACACTGCTCGAGCTCAGAACAGACCGACAAGAAAAGACCTTCCTCCCCCACAGCATACACCCACCGAACCATGCGCTTCATCGCGACTATTGGCCAGCTGCTCCTCGCCGGAGCAGCTCTGGCACAGAGCAACTCGAGCTGCTCGCCCTCTTCCTCGGATGCTAAGGTCGTCGAGTACGGCTGGGCGCTCTCGTACTTCCTGGACCGCTACTACAACCAGGTCCCGCTCAACCAGACCTTCCTGCAGAGCGCAACCAACGACTCCGACGCCGAGTACTACCCCAACTTCCAGGGGATCCAGCGCCTGAACCGCCTGGGGACGCGTGCCGCCCAGCAGCTCGGGTCTAGGATTTCCGGCTTCACGGCTCCCAACTGCAGCTTCACCTTCCCCAATGCCAGCAGCGCCGAGAGCTTTGTCGAGAATGCTTTGACCCTCGAATCGACCGTCGCCGGCGCTTACATCGCTCTGGCTGGCTACACCCAGGCTCCTGAGGTGTCCTTCCTGTGGGCCCGTCTGGCAGCTGAGCACACCGCGCACGCCTACTACCTGGCCAGCAACCAGGAGGACATCCTATTCCCGGCCAACAGCTCCGGTCTGGTCCCCGCCTATAGCCCGGCCTATGTGCTGTCCTCCGGTAGCCAGAAGGGCAAGCTGGGCCGCTACCTCGGCAGCTGTGTCTCAGCGCCTCCCGCACCCTGCGGCCAGACCTTGTTCATCGGTCCCCTCGGCGCCACCCTGGCTCCCAACGTGTCTGCCAGTGCCGCGGCCGCGAGCTCGGCTTCGCTTTCCGCTTCAGCGACTCCTTCTCCCAGCTGGGCGAAGAGATCTCTCTTCTAAGCAAGTGGAAGGTACTACATCCGATCAACTTCGCCTAAGTCAATGCTATCTCCAGGGACACCGATATATCGGATCAAGGCGATGATCGTAGAATGAGAAAGTTTGGATAGTGATTGGGTGGAACGGCAATTTATGTGGCCTATTCCTGTAATCTTATTTCTTAATTATTAGCATTTTGACTTTTGTGAATTAAAGTTAAGACCAAGGCCAAGACCAAGCACTTTTGCTGACTAGGTCCGGAATTATCCTCTTGTCTATTGATTCCGAGTAGCTCCGGCGGAAGGTGATTTATGCCGGGAAGAACTAGTACCCCTCTTCGAAGAAGGGAAGCCTTCGTTGACATGACTTCATTTCCGATGTATTCATTCGCCTATGGTCGGTTCTGTACAACTGTATGAGATCATCCGGTAGTGAGTCCTGGGCAAGCCGAGCTGTCCATTCTTCCTATTTGAGGAGTCAGGATATGCATACCGGTACTTCCGGCACTGAGGAGTATTTTTAGAACTAGTCTCATGATATAGATGCCCACATTGAAGGGTGGTGCACAACTTGTTCACCGAGACATATTTCTTCATGTGAACAGGTAACGCTGGTTCCGATGTCAATGCTATCTCTGAAATCTGCGCTCGCGCTCTATTGTGTTGGGGATGGTATTAATCTTCCGTCGGATCCGTTCAAAATCCTATGCAAGCAATTACTCCGGTCGAATCAGGTCCAAGTATTGCTCCAAGCTCTCGCCCATCACATTAATGAAGGGCCACTGTGTATTCTTCCGAAATAGACGAGCCCACAGCTGTATGACTGCCAGGCCAAGACTGGTAGGGTCAAGACCCGGAAAAGTCTCGTCTTTATCTGGGTCCAAGGAATCATAAGCCTCTTGGACGATACAGCGTGTCCAATGCAGTATGCGGCTTTCGTTACCTATTTGAGTTGGATGTCAGTACACGTAAGGTACAAGATTATTCTGGGTTATAGCTGGGCCCGTACTGCTCAAACTCTGAGTGCCGCCGGTTTCCGCCAGCGACAGCAGCCATTTGCTGAGCAAGACCGCACATTCAAGGCTGGCAATTGAATGACGAACGCTCCAGAAGAAAGCTTGACTGCGGGCCACGTGGTCAATGCCCAGTCGTACTGGCACGCTCAAGGCATGTGCCGCATAGATGAGCGCAGGTGTCAATTGGTAGCTCCGGCTAGGGCGAGGCGACCGATGCAGCGCCGCAGCGATGCGATATGGATCTCGCGTTTCGAGTTGACGATAAGCCCCTAAGTTCAGCGACAAGCGAACGTACGCTAGACCTAGAAATGAGCTAGATGTGAAAGGGATGGGGCCGTTCTCGTTATGAGGGTCGAGGCTCGATTCGGGTGCTTGTTGCCAAACTGATGTCCAGGTTCGTAGAGCTCTCCTGTGACGAGATTCGCGGTCAGTAAACCTGATATGAACTTTCGGGCCTCTCAATGTCATCTAAAATGCAGATCATGAACGTACTCGAGTTTGTTCAATTCCTCTGTTGGGAGAGAAAATGAATGGTCCCCATTTGGTATGGAGAGCTCGCTCACGAGGTGTATGCGTTGAAGAAGACCGTGAAGAAGGATGTAGTTGCCGAGGGGCGCGGGAATCGGCTCCAGCGGCACTGGATGTCGTGCTGGTTGCAGCAACAAGGCCAGTGCGTCCTGGAAGAACAGCTGCTGGGAGCCGACTTCCTTCTGCGCAGCTTCCCATTCGTGAGCCGTCGCTGCGTTCCATTCTTTGGTAGAACACGGAAGGCGCAAGTGAACCTCACTGCTGCGCAGTACCGGGTAGATGTTATAGGCTATGCTATGGATGTGAACAAAACAGAAGGAGATGAAGCGAGTGCGTCGGATGGATTCCTCCTCAGCCCACTCGTGCCATTGCAATGGGCCGTGTCTTGGAGCAGCGATGATGTTCTCTGCCAGACCAAATTCCCGAAGACATCGGACAAGCAGATTCTGCAGGCCGAATGCCTCCTGAACGAGCTCAGCCTTCTCCCAAGTGGAGTATCCCATGAGGGCTAGCAAAGTGCGGATGGTTTCGAGTTGCCTCCACGCACTCATTCCTGTAGCGAACTCGGCAGGTGGGAGAGGGGATGCCTGGCTTGGTAGTGCAGGATCGCAGATGTGATTCAAGGGGATTTGAACAATGGTGTTATGTGGCACTCCATGGGATTCTTTCGAGAGTCTGCAGAGCACAATCTCCTTGGAAGCATGAAAGAGCCGTTCTGCATTGCGGTGTTCGAACCGGTACTGGGCGCCGAGGGTCATGAAAGCCAGCACGAGCTCCGGCGCACGGTCATTAATCCGGAACGTCGGGGCATGCATGAAGGGTAGATGTGTATGGAAGCCGTCAAAGAACGACGTCAGATATCTGGTCAGTGTATGGCGCGACGGCAGGACGAAATCTGGGATCAGATAGCGAAACTCCTCCAGCGCAGCAGCCAAACGCTGTCTCTGCTCCTCTGTCACCTTCAAGGAAGAACTACTCCTGGCACTCTGCGGCGGCTCTGAGGATTCACGTCAGTATCACAGCTCGCGTACCTGCCCGCGAAGCGATGACATACCATAATCGTGAACCGAGCCAAGGCTCTGATCTTCAGGCGGCACCGATGGAAGCCATGATCGGAAGGGCGAATCTCCCCGAGAAGACCTCTCAGGGATACTCCGACGCGGAGCATCCTGTTGGAGAGTATGGTTCCGTTCAATGTCTGGAACGGTAGTTGCCGGCACTGGATTGTGCATCTGAGGCACTTCTCCAAAAGCGGGGACCCATTCGGATGGCAGTCCAATGGAGTCGAGGAAATGGGTGAAGTCTTGGAAGTGGTTCAATTCTTCCGGGAGGTATGACATGGGTTGGGCTAGTTCTCAATTAATATCAGACTCCGTGAAGCTGGTTCCCCGGACGGCGAGTCCTTACCTGGAGCTGGAGTATGTCGGTAATTTCCAGGAAGCAAGAGCTGGGCCGCCTCGAGAACCTCCGCATCGTGACCAAGCACGCCGCTGTGCGGCGGTATACTTGGAGGAGCGTGGTTCACAGGCTGGAGCACGGGCGCTCGATCTGGCGTGATATATGACTCCCGTGGAGGTTGTTGAGGTGGCGGTGGTGGAGGTCCGGTCCATTGTTCCACATTCGGGGGCACTGAGAGAGGTGCGTCCGGGCGCGATGTCGGCGGCGGGACGATGAACCCTGGCGGCGCTGCAGCTGCAGCTGCAGCTGGAACTGAAACTGGAACTGGTACTGGTACTGGTGGTGCTGGTGGTACTGTGGCGGGCTCGGATGCTCGCGGGTGAGGTTGTGGTTCTACACTCTCCGTCTCAGGCTGTGAATTGGGCGATACCAAGCCATTGCCAGGATGCGCAATGTTGGTGTGTCGCTTCAACAAATCCCGGCGAGTGAAGGCTGCCCCACAAAAGCAGATATACGGTTTTTCTTTGGTATCTGCACGGCGGATAAGATTGGGGGTTAGCCATTATGCAACACCACGATCCTTGCAGGGCTTTCGACGCTAAGACGTGTCGCATTTTCAGCAATTGCACATGCGATCACAATTGCAATTGAGGCAGAGGGGAAGCACAAAGCAAAGGGCACAACATACGAGTGCGAACGTGGCGCTCCAAATGCTCGGTACGGCGGAAGCTGCGGCCACAATGGACGCAGATCCGAGATTTGGCACCAGCAGTCGAGCGACGATTGCCCCGAACAGGCTGTGAGAGAGGCTGAGACTGCATCAAGACATTTGGAGGCGCGCGACTTGGACGTGATGTGTACGCCCGAGTAATGAGATTACCAGAGCTAGCTCTCCAATTTGGGAAATTGGAGAAGCACGGGCGAGCAGCAGAAAGGCAGGGCGAGCAGCAAAAAGATGGAGGGGGGAGGAGTGCGAGACTCGCAAAAAGAGGAGAAAATCCAACCGCAAGAGGCAAAGCGACCGACTCCAACGATTGCCGAACCCGCCGCTTCCCCCAACGCCGCCACTTTCGTCCCCACCGAGGAGTCGGCGATAAGACTCGACAGGGAAGAAGACTCCAACTGCCCTCCCATTCGATCTACCATGTACTACTGTACCATAGGTAGTATAAAGATGATGCCAGGGTGATACCGAGCGGACGAGGGGGACCATAAACAAATCGCTACATCGTCTCACGGCTCACTCACTCACTCCCTCCCTCCCTCACTTACCCCGCCACACTCTCCGAACCGTGCTATATGTATCGCCGGTCACTCAACCAACCATGCCACGAACATATACCTTCCCCGGTGTCGCCGTCATCACCGGAGCCGGCGGAACCGGTAAACAGAACACCTCCCCCTAAGGATCCTCCCTACAAGCCAGCTTACCCAATTTCCCACAGGCATCGGCGCAGCCGTCGCAAAGAGCTTCGCCGCCGCGGGATGCGCTCGCATCGCCATCACGGACCTGAACCCGAGCTCGCTGAACGACACCCAAGAAGCCATTCTCGCGACATCCCCCAACGTCCGCCTCCTCGCCCAAGCCGGCGACATCTCCGACGAAAACTTTGTGGAATCCTTCATCGGCGCCGTGGTATCGGAGTTCGGCCGCCTCGACTACGCAGTCAATTGCGCCGGCGTACTAGGCGAGGCGCTGCGCTCGACCGAGACCTCGCCCGAGATCTTCGACCGCATCACCAACATCAACTACCGGGGTTCGTGGCTGTGTTCGCGCGCGGAGCTGAGACAGATGATCGCGCAGGACCCCCTATCCGGCCAGGATGATCCGGCGGCGGCGGCGCGCGAGGGCCCGCGCGGGGCGGTCGTCAATATTGCCAGCCAGTTGGGCATCGTGGGACGTCCTGGGGCGCGTAAGTTCTTCCTTCCCCCCGCCCAATTTTGAAAGCGCGGAGTTGTTGCGTGATGGAACGCTAATTCTATTCCTTTGAATGGGGGATTGCAGCGGCGTACTGTGCTTCCAAGGCGGCCATTATCGCGATGACCCGTTCTGACGCCATTGACTACGCGCGAGAGGGGATCAGGGTCAACTGCGTGTGTCCCGGCGTGATCGAGACTCCCATGACCACAACCAGCGAGGAAGTCCGGGAACGACTCCGGCCGGCCGTCGACATCGCGCCCATGAAGCGGATGGGCAAGCCCGAGGAGGTGGCTGATGCAGTGCTCTTCCTCTGCTCGACCTTCGCGTCCTTCGTACAGGGACATGCGCTTGTGGTAGATGGAGGGTATATTATCAACTAAAAGTCGTGAAAGGCTGAAAGCTAAAAGCTATACCCAATAACGATTAACGAACCTGTTGCTACTCGTGGTGGGACGGCAGTAATATGACGAAATCGAGGTCATGAAATGTTATGTTATGTCCAATGATGATATGACTTGATGAAATATGTACTGTACTTGCGATTTTGTTTTAGAATGGTTCATCAACATCACCTCGTTTCCCCTTGACTCTTCCAATCGAAATGCTGCTCCCAAGCATGCCCCACCCGAAGCACCTTAGCTTCCTGCCACAGCCCGCCGACAATCTGCATCCCCACCGGCAACTGAACCTCAGAATTATCCTTAGCAGCCGCACGACCCACTGGTATCGACATAGCAGGATGGCCCGTGACATCGAAGATCGCCGTATTGATCGTGAGGCCCATGCTAGGCCGGAGCGCCTCGACCGGCAGGTCGCGCGGGGAGCCATGGCGGGGGGCGACAATCGGCGTGGTCGGCATCACCACGACATCATATCGACCGAAAACCTCCTCGTAGCGGTCCCGCAGCCGTCGACCGATGTTGACCGTCTTGCCGTACAGATCGGGGAACTGGGAGGTGAGATACAGGCCGTTGATGATCACGTTCTTGGTGCTGGGGAACGCGCGCCGGAAGCCCTCGGGCGTCCAGGGGAGCCGCTCGCTCTCCATCTCGGTCAGATGCAGGCCGCGCCGGCCGTGCGCCTGGCCCAGCAGCGTCATTGAGCCTGAGATCCGCTGCTGGATGGTCCAGATAGCCGGGCCGTGGTAGTGGTCCGGCACCGACACCTCCTCGACGACCGCGCCCAGCTCCGCGAGCTTCTGGACGGCGTTCATCACGGCTTGTTTGACTGCGAGGTCGACGGTGGCGTGCTCGAACCCTTCCTTCAGGTATCCCACGCGGACGCCGTCGAGGCGCCCCCCGGTTTCTTCGGTCTGTAGCGCTGTCGCGTAGGCGGTCGAGCCGGGCTGCGGGCTGCCCAGGCATCGGTCGTCGATTCCGTCATAGCCGCTGATTGCGTCCAGACACAAGGCGACATCCAGCGTGCTTCGAGCAATAGGGCCGGCGTGGTCGTTGATCGCGTCTCCGCTGGCGATGCCGGTGTACGGAATAAGGCCGTATGTCGGTTTAAGTCCCACGCCTGTATCGCAGGTCAGCACAACATCAATAGAAGCTCAGAAGCCCATGACTGAATACACGTACAGCCACAGAAAGACGAGGGCACACGAATACTGCCCCCCTGATCTCCACCGATAGTGATATCGACCAGCCCGGCTGCGACCAGCGCCGCCCCGCCCGAGGTGCTCCCACCCGACGAATAACCCTCGGCAAAAGGGTTCTCGACGATCCCCTGCGCGCTCGTGTACGACGAGGTCGAGTGGCAATAATTCTCGCAGGTCGACGTTCCATGGATATCAGCCCCCGCAGCCAGTACCCGAGTCACCACCGTGGCGTCCGTGACAGGGGTCCAGGAGGGGATGATATCGCTTCCAAGCAGCTGGGGCACGCCTGCGACCGCAATCGTGTCTTTCAAACTGATGGTTTTGCCGGCCAAGGGCCCTCCATCGGGTTTGCCTTTAATCAAGAACTTATGTGCCCAAGCCTGGCCGAAGACCTGCTCTTTCGAAGAAGGTCTTCGAACGTTCTGTCGAGGGTATCGTTCGAGATCGGGGACGGGCTGGTAATCCTGGAGGTTGGAGACCGTTTCTGCACAGTCGTGCACGGCGGCCAGGAGCGTGTGAAAGTCATCCTCCTCCTCTGGGCTGACGGCGAGACCGAGTCTCTGGAGAAGCTGGTTTGCATCTTCCTTTTTCACCGGGTTATCTCTGTTTGGTCTTTTCAGCAAGCGAAGTCCGAGGTTAGATGGTGGTTCGGTGATGTACGTACGGCGAGATGGAGGTGAATAGAACCGACATGGTGAGTGGTGATCTCAGTAAGCTTTCTCGCAAGCAACGCAGTCCAACAACAACAGATCACAATCTTGCTTGACCCCTGCAGTCATGTTAAACGAGGAATATAATTCATTCGAGGCGGGGAAACCGTTGGAAGAAGCAGAAGATTGCTCCAACTGCCAAGCCACAGGGCCTTATCGCGGTTGGGGTAAGAGGACTCCAACCAGGTTGCTGATAGACAATTGGCGCCCAATTGATCATTGTCAGCGAAAGCTTGACCCAACGATAGGCTTTCTTGTAGATTGGGAATACACTGTACAGCACTAAAGTAGATGTGACATGTGTTCCTGGCAAGACATCCTGGGCCGTTCCGATTGTTGCCCACAAGCTTCGGAATTCCATCTGGTGCGGAAGCTAAAGCTAAAGAGGGGTCATAAGTTACCTGATTTACCCAAACTGTTTGACCGGCTCAACAACTCCTTGAACATTCATGCCAGCACTGATTCACACTGCTGCTATAGCAGTACATTGATATCAAGCACTACCCCAATTCCCTATCAATCACCTTGCATAATCGATATGGCAGGGATGTCACTTACTCCAAATTGATAACATTACTCCAACTGAGGAGATAGTGAGCCGTTTGTTATCGCGACCTCCATCATTAAGTATGAGTGAAGCCATCAATCACTACCGAATCGGACAGGGCTATCATCAAGGATGATCAATTATTGCAAGATATACCATGCCAGCCCTGCAGCTTCCTGCAGCTTGATCCCGCACTCTTCATGCTCGTATAAGAATGATCGACCCCCCACCGCATTGAAAGGGGCGTTCCCCCCCCTTGTTGTTCACATCAGTTGAGATTCAACCACGATGACAAACGAGGGCAAAGACATCAAAATTTCACCAGCGATGCCTGGTGAAGACATTGCCGTCGCAGACACCGAGCACATAAAATCCAATAATGACGGGCTTGAAGAAGTCTTCCAACAAAGCGAAGGCCAAGTAGACTTTCGGACCGTGAGCTGGATACGGGCATCAGCCATTTTTCTGAAGAGTTCGTTCCCCCTTACCCCAAACATCCATCGAGATCACTCAATAACCAAGAGTTGACACACAGTGCTCTTCGCGACCGGCATCCTCTCGATTCCCTCGGTCATGTACGACCTAGGCGCCGTCCCCGGGGCCCTCAACGTGCTCGGCTGGTGCGCTCTCAACACGTACGGCGCCCTCGTGCTCGGTGATTTCCGAGAACGCTATCCACAATGCCACACGGTCGCCGACATGGCGCAGTTGATGGGGGGTCCGATCTTCCGAGAGGTGGTAGGGTTCTTGTTCGTCATGACCTATGTGATTACGGCAGCCTCAGGGGTGATCGGGGTATCGGCGGCCTTCAACGCGCTGTCACTGCACTCGCTGTGCACGGTGTGGTTCTCTGTAATTGCCACCGTCATCATCGCCCTCTGTGCTAGTGTGCGGAAGTTCTCCCACATCGGGTGGTTGACCTGGGTCGGGTTTTTCAGTATCCTCGCCGCGGTATTCATCATCGTGTAGGGCTTTCCCCTTCCTCTTTCCTTCTAGACCACGCCCAGCTCATTTCACAAATTCACTAACACATTCGAAAAAAGTATTGGAGTAACCACCCTCGACCGACCGTCAGCGGCGCCTCAGGAAGGCCCCTTCGACCTGGGTTACCACCTAGTCGGCCACCCGACCTTCGCCGCCGGCATAACCGCCTCATCGACCATCTTCGTCTCCTCATCGGCGACCTCAGCATTTCTCCCCGTCATCGCGGAGATGCGCCCGCCCACCGCCCGGGCCTACCGGAAAGCCGTCGCTCTGTGCATGAGCTTCGTCACCGCCAGCTACCTGACCTTCAGCCTGGTCCTGTATCACTACTGTGGGAAATGGGTCGCCTCGCCGGCGCTGGGCAGTGCAGGTCCCGTCCTCAAGCGGGTGGCGTATGGCATCGCTCTTCCGGGATTGCTGGTCAGCGGAGCACTGTACGTCCACGTCGCGGCTAAGTATCTCTTCGTCCGGGTGCTGCGCGGCTCCCCGCAGCGAAGACGGCACCTCCAGGCTAACACCCCTGTGCACTGGGGTACGTGGTTAGCATGCGTTGTGGGCATGGCGGCCATAGCGTGGGTACTGGCTAGTGCCATTCCGGTATTCACATATGTGTTAGCTTTGGTCGGGGCGTTAGGGTTCGCGCCATTGGCAATCAGTTTGCCCGGGATCTGTTGGTTGTATGTGAATGTTTACCATGGTCGAGGGGACTGGGACGAGGAGGATGGGCAATCGTGGCACAAGAGGTGGACGAGAGTGGTCTTGATTGCAGTGCATGTTGGATTGGTGCTGCTGGGGCTGTTCATGATGGTCGGGGGAACATATGGTGTTGTGGTACAGATTCAGGAGGCGTATAGAGATGGAAGCGTGGATGGCGTGTTTTCTTGCGCGGATAACAGTGGGACGGTGTCCTGACCAGTTGTTATATGTGTATATCAGAGAATGTTCGATCGCGGTTTTTGATCTCGCATGCATATGCTCGGTAGTATACCCGTATATCTAACCCGGTTAGCCATCAACTGTAGGATATTGCATAGAAGCACGATAAGTTCAAATGGCTCAAGCATCAGCGTCCATGTAGAAAGATATTATCTCATTCCCACTGCATTAAGAATAGCTACAAAGAACGACGGCGCAACGCTGCATCAAGAAACTTCATACACGGTCATGAAAACGAAACCTTGTCCGATTGCTCCCACAGTTGACAGAAAACCGCCGGATTTGCATCTCTTGATCCTGGATCCTCATAACTTGGCATGTCGACGCCGTCGAATTGAGATGGACGGTGGTGCTATTGATCTGGCTGCACTGGGTATCGCTGGAAAACGCAACCGAACAGTTTGAGCCGTTGGCGATTTGCACTATGTATCCCAATGCACCGCCGTTGAGAATGGCATCGTGACATGGTAGACTGGTGTTTCCAGAGAAGTATGTGGTCTGGCCGGTGCATCGTTTGTTTTGGTACAGTGAGATCTGCCAGGCAGTTGTCGGATTGATTGTGGATCCTTTAAGTGATGGGAATGCGTAGGTGATATGGCAGAGGAGGCTGATTATGATTGACCAGATTGCAAGTATTTCCTTCATTGTAGAGTCTGGATTGTAGACCGTGAGATTGTCGAAGGTAGTGGATGTGAGAGGAGCTTATGGGTTGATAGGTAATTTGCGTATGCAATGCTGCGATGGTTTCGAGGTAGGTGGATAGATGCTAGAAGGAAGGTAGCTCACGTCGGAGGGTGCAGCAATGTAGGCATTTCACGCTGCGGCTATGCCGAGTGTATGAACGGCCTAGAGGGATGGGGCAGCGATGGGATTATGGCTCTTGGAATAGGTAGGTAAATGTGGTTCGAGGTTCATGTGATCGAAAAGCAAATGGGCAAGGGGCGGGGTTAGTTGACCTCCTTACGATCGGAGGTGAGTATTTTTGGAAGGAGCATGTGTGTCATGATGTCACCTGCTCCAGGAATATCTGCGCACCGTGCTGTGATAGATACTACCTGTACCTTCTTTCCCTTGCTTTTCGCTTTCATGTGAATGAACCAATAGATGGCATGGGCTAAATCTGCAGGTATTGCAGGATGTCTTGGTCGATATTGTCGACAGCAGTCTGGTATATGCCATCAACTGGCTCGGGGCCTAGACCAGCTGCACCATCAATACCAAATGCCAGATCAGCAGATGCGCCTGGGTCGACAGTAGGCTGTCCCGTTGGACCAAGGTCGTGGAAATCAACCACCTCGGAGTATCTATGGTTCATGTCAGTCGGTCCAAGGTACGCCGCAGATAACCTTTGAACATACATCATAATCTTCCACTCATCGATGGAATGGACGGCATCCTGGAATGACCAGTCAAACATCGTCTCTGCGACCGGTTCGTCATTAGGGTCGTGATAAACAGCTAGGTATGGATGTTCTAAAGCCTCCTCAGCGGATATGCGTTTGTCGGGATCGATCACGAGCATTTTGGAAAGCAAATCAACGGCTATTCACAACTTGTTAGATCTCAGGTCCCTGAGGTTTGTCTACTGGTGGACTCACCTTGCGCATCGGCTCCGGGAAACAGGGATGCCCACACAGGAGGTTTGCGTTTGCCCAGTGACTGGACGATCTGCAAAGTCTGGCAGATGTTAGAGCTTGGGCCAAACCTTGGTCACTCGACTAGCTTACTGTCTTCGTGCTAATCCTCTGGATCACTTCATCCGGTGGGCTTCCCAGCGCTTCCGTGATCAGGAAGAACTGGTTGATGTGGTCCTTGCCGGGGAACAAGGGCTTTCCACGCAGCATCTCAGCAACAATGCAGCCGGCACTCCAAATGTCGACCTGTTTACCGTATCTCTGCCAAGTCAACATGATCTCCGGCGCTCTGTAGTATCTCGTGGACACATAGCCCGTCATCTGGGGCTCTTGCACTCGAGCCAGGCCGAAGTCACAGATCTTCAAGTCACAGTTCTCGTTGATCAGGAGATTACTAGGCTTGAGATCTCGATGGATGACCCCAGCCGAATGAATGTATTTTAGTCCCCGCTAGTCTTCATTAGCATGAGTAAGATGCAGCACAACCCGAGGATATTTACCAGAAGCTGATACGTGAAGTACTGTACAAACTTTCCATCGAGGGGCTTGGAAGTGAGGAGTCGATTCAGATCGGTCCCCAGAAGCTCGGTGACAAGGTACCTGATCGTCCCTGTCAGTATCTCCACACTGATCTGTTCCCACGTGGTGATGTGAGTTTCGGGGTCCCACTTACACGTCCTCGGACGGGGAGATGAAGATATCACTCAGGCCAATGAGCTTGTGTGGCAACGCGTTAGCCTGCGAAAGCAAAGAAGGGAAGGAAGATCCGGAACACCAGCATACATTTTCATGACGTAAATGCTTGAGCAGCTTGACTTCCCGATACGTGCGCTTAGCGATCGTGGGGTTCGAGAAGGGCTTCATCATCTTCTTGATGGCCACTGGTTGGCGGGCGATGAGATCGTTTGCGGAGCTGCAGGATTTATTTTTGGGTCAGCCCATGTGCCCCATTCCCTTTTTTGCTTCTTACCAGCAGGATACTATAGGAACGTATGGGAACAGGGGAGCCAATACCAGACAAGCCCAAAGGCCCCAAGTCCGACCGGTTGAAGGTCCGCATATCTAGAGAAATTAAAAAGTTTAGCTTGCGGGGGAGCGGTTCGTCCAACTACTAGGTACTACTACCAGGTTTCTAGAAAAACATCGGCGGGGATTCTTGCCTGTTTGTGGTTTCGAAGGTGGTTCCCAGGATCTGCGAGCGAATGAACTCGGCCATGACCGTGGGTTTGGTAGATCCGATCGGGGAAAGGTAGTATGTGTACTGCAAGAGCACTGTACGGATGGAGACGATGATGAGGTCTGTTGATGGAGGATGGATACTGGAATACTGATGGTGATGATGATGATGATGATGCAAATACAGCGCAATGAACGAAGAATAATGTCAGTGGCGAGGTTCAAGGGGGAAGAGGTTTTATCGTCAGGGCGGTTGTATGACAGCTTGACAAAGGTGCATCTCGATCGGCCGCTAGTGTTAAGGGAGTGCCTCGGCCTGTTCGGTCACGTCTGTGGCGCTCTCGAGGGGCTGCTTAGACGCTTCCGGACTCTTCTATCGGCGCAGAAGTGATGGAAACAAGGATGAAAATTGGCCGGCGATTGGTGGGATGAGTTACCAGCCAGCCAGCAAAGCTGCAGGGAGGTGTTTTGTTGTGTTGTACGAATAATGTATGTAGGATGTTTGAGGAGAGGGGGAAGAAAAGAGAGAACTGGGGAGCAGGGAAGATGAAGGATGAAGGATGGAGGATGATGGGAGGGGTGAATGAATGAATAGGTACAGACAGACAGTAATGTTACTGTTGTAGTAAGCAAGCATCAGCAGTTCCATGTCTGTAACTACAGTAGACTAAACAGTCTAGAGTGCGACCCATGGTCTCATCTCCGTCTACGCTCCACCCCACCCGTTGACCCGGGGGTATCTCCAGCACCTAAACAATTATGGATCTCTCAGGGACGAACTACTCGTTGGAAGTATTCTCCTGAATTATTCTTGAGGATGAACTGACCCAGTGCATGCAGCGATTTGAGGGGCGGTCATTTACAGTACAGACATACAGATACATACATACCAGGTACAGGCGGTACATACTCTCTCATCTCGCATCGAGCGTTCCAGAACATGGGGCCCTGGTCGACAACAATCAAGGCAAAGGCGAGTTGGAAGTGTCAAGAAGGGCAGAGAAACCGGACTGTGCCTGTCAATCGCAGTTTAGCCGCGGGAGAAATATCCCCCACGAGCCAATAGTCGTGCTGCTGCAGATGTGCTGTGACATCATCGATGGATCAGCTTGGGTTAAGGTGGTGTTGATCTTTGCCTTTATGGTCACATTCACAATCTATGGACTTGAAGACGAATGAACTGGATTGCTGCGGAAATTAACTTACCTAGTAGCAAGTTTCCCTTTCCACTTTACACAGTACATTTAGATTGAAATTAGCGCCTCTTGTTGCCTACTGGCTAGTAGCCAGAAGTACATGTCGGTGTGTGTGGTCTCGGACTACTGGGTCACATGACGCGAGAAATTATAAACACTACAGTAGTTAACTTAGCTGTAGCTAGTTCCTTCCACTACTAATTCAAGCAATATTCAGAGCCTCACCGAAGGACTATAAACGGGCATATTCTAAATATTCCTAAGCAGTCCCAGATTACTTTAAAAGTGAATATTAGACAAAAGACCTCGAGGGGTTTTACTTCAAACTACATAGATGTTTTGGGACCTTGTATGCCTAAGGCACTTATAAGTTGATGCCTGACGGGCGCCTTAGCCCGGCAGTATCCCTGCAGCGGCTCGTCCAAGGTCCCTCTCTCTGCTGGACGAGCGTGGCGGAGATGCTGCCAGCAAAAAATCGAAAGGCCGCCCTATTCGGATCCGAACCACAACAAATGCCGCATCAATCTGGCCGGATGGGGGATTTTGTACGCGGGATTTGTTTGAGCGATTGAGTAGGCTGTGGTTGCCAAAGAGGCACCGATCCTCTGCTCCACATACTGACTGGCCAGAGAAATTCCCTCAGGGCTTCTATCTCGGTGAAGGCAACACTGCTTCAGGATCTCGAAAAACCCTTGAAGGGATCAGGCTGAGGCTCTGGGACACTTGCTTGGAAGCTTTATCCGCTGAATCGTGGAATTTCGTGCCATATACATCCCAGCCTTATAATTCAGGTACTAGTTATGGGATTCTACGATCGTACATGCCAAGCTTCTCCGGAATGTGCAGAAGGGAGGAAGCACAGACCAACCTACGCAAGGTTATATGGAAAAGGGTCGTCGGACGAACAAACACACCCGCGGTCCACCCCCAGCCAGAGTAGGGCTATCGGAGATCCACATGCTTGGTATGAGGGATTTCCGGGGGAGCCTCTCCTCC